CTCTCACGCGTGTGCGTCAATGCGATAGCAGTTCGTCGTCCCTCGCTCCGCGACAATAAATGTCTAACGCGCGAACGCAGCGGTTGCACAATTACAAGGAAGTCATCTGGAGCATCATTGTGAAACGTGAAAGTTCTCTCTCTCTCTCTCTCTCTCTCTCTCTCTCTCTCTCTCTCTCTCTCTCTCTCTCTCTCTCTCTCTCGGAAGTGCTTCCTTTCCAGATACGCCGCTCATTGTCTCGTGAGAAAGTACGAATGCGACAATCATAGACTCGCGAGTTTTTGCGCCCGATAATTGTTCCTGTAAAAATTACGTGTTTCGTACGAGATTGATGCTTCGCACTTTGTATGGATGATCGTCACGGGATTTGGTGGCTTTTCAAACGCGACTTCAGTGTGAATCATTTTCAGGATTTTCATTGACTGAAAGTTCGGCTCCTGTTGCTTCTCACCACTCGCAGTAGTTAGTCAACTTTCTTATATGTCCCATGCTGTCTTGGACTCGGTGTTACACGCGCAGCGTACAAGACAGAAGCAGGAGAAGGAAATAGCTGTAATGTCAATTCTCCGCGACATTAACGCTAGCTAAGATATAATTAGAAGGCTCTCGCAGGTCTTCGGACGGAACTTTTGAATACCTCCGGTATCGACGTTCGTAAACACGCTAAAACGTAACATTGGCAAAATGAAAATCTAACGGTAAACCGAGCGTCATCGCGTCAGCATCGCGCGCTAATGAAAATATCGGAGGATGTTTATTCATTGCCGTCAATTAAATGCAGAGAGACGCGCTCGCGCGCAAATTAGCATCAGGAGAAGAAAAATGCTCGACGACAGCTCGGTGCGCCGGACAATAATCGGCGTCGCGCGGACAGTTAACAATAAAGCGAAGCCTTTTCGAAGGCAGGCAGCGACAGGCGCGCAGCCGGCTGACCTCGGACGGCTCCCAAGGCCCTTTCGCGTGCGCCGATTCAAATCATATCGAGAGAGAAAAATCATTGCGCGCGTCTATTGGGCGAGTCGCTGAGTGACGGAGCATCGCGACCCGTCGGAGGGATGCGTGCCTTGGCGACCGGTCGAGAGACCTTCGAATCGACCAAACCGGTCGCTCTCAAGACGTTCGCGACTCGCCTTTGTCTCCGCGGCGAATCAACGGCGCGGGCGGCTTCTCTCCCTCGCTGCCCCGCTGATAAACGACGAAGGACTCTGACCTACTTGTTCCGCTGTCGAAAAGAGAGAGAGAGAGAGAGAGAAGAAAGATAAACACGCGGGTTGCTCTTCCTTTGTGCGCGCGCGCGCCAGTGTACGTTCATCCGAGAAGAAAGTCGACGTTTTTTTTGAATCAATCGACTGCGCGCACACGCGTAGCCACTCTATATTAAGGCTCGATCGTGCGGGTGTCCTTGGGCGAACCGAGCGTGCGCTCGCGTCTCGTTAGTTGTGTCGAGGGACACGCATTGTTCGGGAAAATCGCTCCTTGCCGACGATCGACGCAACCGCGCACGCGTGCGCGTGACGTCAGTGTGTACGTACGGATATATATACTTTTTCTTTTCTACTTCGAAAAATTCTGAAACGTCTTACGCGCGCGCGGAAATAAAAAACAAGGCACGGATCTGGTCGGGCACTCTCGCTTCGACGCCGAGCGCGCGGACAGACGTCGATTGGCGAATCGCTCGCGTGTATGCGTAAGACCGTTGCGAATCGATGACGCCGCGGGAACGACGGTCGTTTCGCAAGACCCGCGGGTTATAAAGCGAAGCCGGCAGCAACGCGGAGCTGCAACCGCGGAGAGATCAAGCCTCCGCCGATCCTCGCTCGGCTCTCATTCTAGGCACGGCTCGGGTCAGGTGAAAGTTCGCCGCGCCGCATTACGACGCAGCAGCGGCCCGTCCGCCGTGCGACTCCGTTTGCAAGTTTTACAGCCTGGCGGACCGATGATCCACTTGCTTTTGGAATCCGCCGACTAATTGGACCCCTGCCATCGATTGGCGAGGCCTGCCGTTGCGCACGTCGACTCTTCTTTGAGGAGCGAAGAGATTCTTGGCGGAAACCTTACGAGCCTCGCGAAGAACGCGAGTCGACGACCTATTATGCAACGCCGACTTGTAATCGAAGCCGAAAAAACCTGCTGCCGTGCGAGAGATGCCTCGGAAATGGAATTCCGCTGCGCAAGACGTCACAGCGGCGTCCCTTGGAAAAAGTGGGCCAACAAGCCACGCGCCACCTCGGGAAAACTAGGCGAAATCGATAGCGCGCGCAGAGACTTTCGTCATCATCCCCCTCGCTCGCGCGCGATTCGCTACATTCAAAACACGCCGTGCTGATGTGTGAAGAGTCTACGTGCGAGGAATGGAATGATTCACGCTCGAGCTTGCTCGCTACTTTTTTTTCCAATTACGTGGCTCTCTTTCTCGAGAGTTTATTGAACGATCGCCGGAACAAAAAAAAAAAAAAAAGAGCTCTTTTTTTCTTCTGAAAGTGGCGTTGACGACGTGGAGTAGCAGTTATCGACGTTTTCCTTTAGATCTAAATTTAGCAATCACGTGCTAGTAGTGGTTGGGCTTTTCACGAGTCGTTCACCTTTGAACTGCAAATACAAATGAGCCATGGCGAAAAGACAACAGTCGTTTTCTTTCTTTTTTGTTGCGATGTTTTCTCAGCCTCGGCATATCGATTGAGTGTACCTCGTTAAGGTGAAAAAAAACGACGATACGTTACGTGCAATAAAATTCAAGGACAATTACAAGTACAATAAGCGCTGAATAAGAAACGGGCGCGTTAACTACGAATTCGCTTTCTCCTCGCGCGAGAAAACAATTCCATTTGACGCGCTCTGAAAAATAGCCATCGAGATAACGCTGCCTTTTGTTTCTTAAAGATGCGTACATGTATTCATCGGTCAAATTATCAGAACGTAAAATAATTTGCCACGTGTAGTTGGCTAGAAACTAGGTGGGATGGGTTTAAGATTGATCAACAGTGGAATACTTTGCGAACGTTTTCTCGTGCAAAGAACGGACAAATTTATTCTTGCGAGATCCCGCTCAACATAATTTTTCTTTTTCATTTTTCGAACAAAGGGACGACGAGAAAACATTACTGTGGCAATACAAAAAGTAATGTTCCATGCACCATTATTTCCAATGCATAAAAATGATATTCCTTTAAACTCGAAACAAAAGCAATTTTATTTTTATAATATTTAAAATTGTATAAATTTGCATAAATAAGTACTGCAAAAATTCAAGAGCAGTAATTCGAATCGAGTTCTCTACTCTTCATTCATCTTACAAACTCTGCTCTCAAGCTCTTATCAACCCAATTAACACGTGTTCTCATCGTCGCTTTATTTTTAAATACGAAACCGTACACGTCATTTTTATCATCAACTGTTGCGTAAAACGATGACCATTCAGTATGCTCTTCACCAACAAATTGGAGGTTAGGTAGCGGGCAGAAAAAATTAGAAAATAAATCAAGGAGGAGTGTTCCGTTATTTTACTGCAGGCATTCACAAATGGAAAAAATTGTCCTAAAGCTATTTTTTTTAATTTACGACAGAAACGTTTTAAAGAGAAATATATAATTAACGGATTCAAAAATTTTGCATAGCATCATAGAGAAAATACTTGTGTGAAAAATAAGTATAATAAAAATAAAACGGTCAATTCGTTGCCTAAAGCTTCCCTCTCTTTCACTTTCGGAAGAGGCAAACCGAGACAAAACGAGTCTTTCCGGTGCCCTAGACGCTACAGAAGAGAGAGAATAAAATGAAAAATCCAGAGATGCTTGAATGAAACTCGCCTGTGAAAAAGAAAAAGGCCTTTGGTGCTTTCGAAAGACGCCTGAGTGTGTAGAGAACTCAAGATGGCGGCCATACGGCCACGACGATGATGATCCTCGTGCCATGTGCGCTAGTTTGGCTTTTTAATTGCTCAAATGTATATTTGATTGCTCTCTCTCTCTCTCTCTCTCTCTTTCTCTCTCTCTTTCTTTCGTAGACGAAAATTCCAGAGAAAAACGATTACTTCAATTATGAATTTATGCTGAGCTATGTAGATTTAGAGAAAATTTTCTATCTAGACTGAAATGAGGAAAGGTAAATATTGAATGTAAAAATAGACATTTCATACTTTGAGTAAACTTAGACACATCACACATATGTGAAGGAATTTATATACATTACTGCAGTTAGCTTCTACCATACACAGCTTGATTATTGATTAATGTTTACTCAGCCAGCTTGGAATGTTCATTATTTAGATTGAATGGCAAAGTAGAATGCAGCCAGACAATGAATGACCCAAAAAGTCTCAGAATAAAGAAATTTAGCTAGAGGTCTTTTTTGATTCAGTTGAAATTAAATAAAGAATTGAGTAGTTAGGTGAATCAACACTTAATGAACATAGCTATGTTAATACATAGATGTTAGAAGCAAATAGTACAGTTGATGCAAGACCTGTTGTAACTGAAGTAACTTATTGAAAATTGTATTAAATTTAAGAATTACTGAATGAAGTTCAATTGAAATTATTCCTAATAAGCAATATTGTTGATTACTGTCCCCATTGTGCCAGTAAATGAAACTTTCAAAATAAATGATAACTCAGTGTTAGATGTCATTAAACACTGCTGTACAATAACTGATAACACTAACTACATGCTGCATGTCCTAGTCATACTTGTTTGTTAAAGATTAATCTCTAAATCCCAAGCTAGTAATTATTTCAGGAGCTATGTAATTGTTGCTCTAGAATAGAAACCCATCGCATGGAAAACCCATTTTTCATTTATAACCCCACATCCTGCCAAGCAGCACACATGCACGCACACCTACAGAGAGCCCAACGGCATATATGTGTGTGTATATATGTACATATATATATACATATATATATATATATATATATACACATATATCTCAGAATCTGACGCGAAAGTACAAATTATACCTACACGTAAGAGTAAAAGCGTTTATGAAGCAAGTCGGTTACCAACCTGCATATTGGGAGCTCGACACTCCTCCTCGGGCATCTTGTCGGTCTCCATGTTGATCATGCCGAGGTGTTGGTGGTAAATCGTCGTCGGTCCGCAGCGGCACCAGCTCGGGCCGACGAAGTAGCCACAGGAAGATCCACACAACGGCGGCTTAGACAAAGACTTATACTCTTGTCCTCCTCTCTCGCTGCACTCACTTCTCACACAGACACTATAGATACCTTTCGAACCTATCTCTCTTGCGAGCGTGCGACTGTGCCTGCCTGCCGCTGCCTCTTTCTTGTCCACGCGTAGCTATGCTCTAAATTGCTGTTAATGTCGACGAGGCGAGGTTAGAAGTCAGCGCAACTGTTTGTGTCCCCCGGATAGTTCAGCGCGACTGCATTTTCACCTGTCTCTACGTCACGCATACGTACACAACGACGACGCTCCTCCTTTATTTCTCGTTGTTTTCTGTATGCATATAATGTAACTCGGAGAGAGAACGAGAGAGATGGATGGGACAAGAGAGAGACGCGCTTCAAGGCACGACACCAACACTTGGAGCCACAGAAAGCGACTGAGGCCAGCTCAGCTCTTCCCGTAAAAACAGAGCCCTTCACTCTCTCTCTCTCTCTCTCTCCCTCTCTCTGTCTTTCTCTCTCTCTCTCTCTCTCTCTTTCTCTCCCCCTCTCCCCGACAAAAAAAACCCCAACTGGCAACTGCCGCGCGACGGCGCGACCGTTAAGAGACGACAGATGGCGCGAATTTTCAAGCGTCGCGGCGTTGCCAGATGTTTGCACGGGTGTTAACTTATTTTTCGCGGTAAATTTGAATCTTTCAAGTAATAATAGATTGTAGTTTATTATAAAATATTTTAATTTTCATTTGAAATTCAGATGATTTCATGTATTCCGTTGATATAAAAATAGAAATGATTGATTTCTAACAATTCTGCTTGGCGTAAACGGAAAGTAGAATATGATCGACGAAATCGATTTTTTTATTTGTTGTTTCTTGCAATTTCCGTTGTAGTTAGTATATCAAATAAACATTAACTTTACAGAGTCAGTAATTTCGTACTTCGCTAGGTAACAAATAAATCTTGTACATAAGAAAAGTTATCGTTCTACTTAAATATTTCAAGGAGATCGAGCGAATAAGTATGAAAATTGATCAAAAACAACGTTTCAAGTATTTTCTCAATTTATTGTTAAATTCGTATGTGCCGTCTTCTTTATCAATGAATGGACAGGTCGAAAATAATCGCATACCGACGTGTTTTTTAGAGTTCTGTTACGTTCACGTAAATATCCCCACTTCGAAAAAAACGAGCGTCTCGGTTGAAAAGTCCATATTTCAGTATCCATATATAACGTCTTCTCCAATCGATGCACATGCATTAACGCACGAGGAGTAATGCGGGAAGCATAAATTCAAAGTGTTTGAAAAACATAAATAAATAAACTTCGGCTTGAAAGTTGCTGCAAGCCCGGTGCTAAGTGTTGCTAAACTCGGTGCTACTGATTGCGTACACTGTAAAGACGCGAAAGTATCGTAAATTGTAGAAAGTGAAATACGTGATGCTGTGACTTCGGGTAAGTTGAATTTTTCGTATTTTTCATTTAGGAAACCTCGGAATCTACCGAATTTTCATTCAAGTGACTTCATTTGCCTTTCATTTACAGTTTAAGTTTCTAATTTTTTGCGTGTAACGTTCGTTTGGCATTGACTGGTCAACGTCAGCACTCTTTACACAATTTCCTTCACATTCCGTAATTACTTAGATAGTATTGAGAAGCTATTTAATAATTTAATAATTGTCAGGCATGTGAATTCTTGATTTTTCTAAAAGTTAATTGTTATTGCAAAAAGTTTTATATCATTTTTCACATTCACCAAGTATTCTGAAAGGAGAACTTACAAATTAAAAAAATAATTTAAAAAATCAATAAAATAAAAATATGTTTGACATTTAAATACTTGATAATTGAATCAATTTATATAACATGCATCTTTTCACAGTATGAGGTTCATAAATTAAGAGGATAATCAAATAGCAATGATCGCTTCTATTCTGTCATGTACATCCTCATCGTATTTTGGACAGCCGCGCCGTCAATTTTTACTCTTACATGCTTGCTTAACGAAAATTCCAAACTTATAAGCATATTCATCTATTTGAAATATTCATCTACTTGAATTAATGATCATATTCTATTTAATGAGTGGGATGAAAAGTGAATCAGACGTGGTTTTTGAAAAATTCACTTAATTACACTAAGAAAAACACTGAAATTTCATTTGATGAACATGTTTAATTTTATATTGTTTAATCAAACTAATCATCGAGCTGACGGCGGGGTATAACGGTATAATGTACATATAAGAAATATAAATAACTTATATAGGGTCACACCGTTATTTCACACAGCCTCTCGTTCATTTATAATTTTTTCACCGGGATAAAAAAGAGAAAAAAAAATTCATAAATATCGAAGAACGGAACATTCATATGCCTTATTCCTTCGCGTAGTTACGAAGCTAGTCTTCGCTTTCATTCGATTTCCTCATAGCTTGCCCTAAAACAATTATTGCACGTGAAAGTTCGAGCAGACGCATATCGAGTCCCGTTATCATTATTTAGTATTATTGTTTCTATAATAACAATAGATTCAAAAATAGTACGGAAATTTCTTCTATAAGCAACAAAGTGAAAACGGGCGGTCAAAAGATGAAACTTTTAGATATTTCGCATCAAATTATTCAGAAACTCAACAAAAGGAAAAGGAGACGATGGAACTCCATTCCATTTTGTTGGCCAACTTTCGTTTTCGGATAGTTATCAAACCGGTTTCGATTTCTACCGGCGTTGCGATCAGCATCGCTTACCGAGCTTTATGACCTGTAAATGGCGACTGTAATATTGGTTCGAGACAATTTGTATGGAATGGGAAATGAGATGAGCTCGAGAAAACGCAAATTACACAAGGCCTTATCTAGAAAATTTTAATGTGCTCTTGGATGGGTTTTTACATATTAACTTGGCGAATTTAAAAAAGAAAATAGCATCATCGCGTAATTATAACGTTTGTACAATTATCACGTTCCACCTGTTTTCCTCTGGTATAAAAAGCGTAAGAGAACTGAATGGAATTTTTTTTCGCCTCTTCTAATTCCAGTAGACGTTATGCTAAACGCAGAATAAACATTTCTAATCGCGTTTCTTCGCGTTGCTTATAATTGCAAATAACAATTTGCCCTTTGGTCACTTTTCAATTAAGCAAATGCCTCATTACTTTTGACGCAGCGCCAGGAATTTCAAGATGAGAACGGTAATTTCATAGCGAATGACTTACGAGACACAGTCCTGTATTTGAAATCCAAAGAAAGCGATAGCTTTGATATTCAACCGAAATGGCAGACCCATACAATTTGCATTTGCATTTGTCCTGGCGAAAACGTCTGCTTCGATACAAGGTAAGTGCAAGCAGCGTCGAAACCGCGAGAAAAAGCGATTTTAATCCGAAACCGAACTCGTTATTTCTTTTTTGCAGAATACAATAGAGAATGCAACGTTCCCAGTTCCGATCAAGACTTTACCACTCACGATCACCATAGTCTCGGCGTTACACTATGCGGATCCAGCCGGTCCTTACGACGTCGTCGGCAAAATGCCCAGTTTACTCGCGTAAGCCAAATCTAATTTGCCGAAGATATAATGGGGTTTCGCTGCGCGAAGTCACGTGCGCACTATTCGCTTGGGTCCCGATGTTTAATGTATGTGGCATAAGAATAAACGCGCTGACAATGCATTTGGCTAATTAATTAGTTTTTATGCATTCGCGTAAAGCGTGCCGTGTCTCGCGGAGTCAGTAGGCGCAAACAGAACTTTGAGAAAATGTTCGGTTTGATTAAACAAATAACGAAGATGTTGTTTTCGACTGAGAATAGAAAGTACAGCTGGATTCGTATTCCGAGATATGCGACTCGCAAATGATCCTATTACCATTGCAGATCTGCTTGGGCGAACTGTTTCGCAACTGGTCTGTCACTGTGGCTGGCAGGGGTGTTTACCATTCGAATGACGATTCGACTGCTCTACTTGTACAAAGGTTACATGTACGAAAACCAAAATCAATCGCTTACCACCAAGTTGTGGGCGTTCGCGCTGAAAGTTTTGCTGGCGTGGAAGAAGCCCAAGCTTTACAGCTTTCAAGGTTTACTGCCCAAACTGCCTGTACCGAAAGTCGAAGACACCGTTGAAAGGGTTGGTTATGTTCTTTTATTACAATGCCACACGCTTTCGTCATTGTAATGGTTTGCGTGATAGTACTTGAAAAGCATGCGACCACTCGTCAGCGACGAGGAATACCAACATTTGGCGGAGATGGCACGAGATTTCGAGAAAGGAGTCGCTTCGAAATTGCAGCGCTACTTGCACCTGAAATCTTGGTGGTCGAGCAATTACGTGTCCGACTGGTGGGAAAGATACGCTTATCACATGAATCGTGCTCCACTTCTGATCAACTCCAATGTCTACGGGGTCGATCTCATTTTTATAAATCCGAGTACAATTCAGTCTGCTCGCGCTGCATTTCTGATTTATGGCTTTATGTATTATCGAGAGCTCATCGACAGTCAAGAACTCGAACCGGTTCGTCAAACGTCAACGATAAGCCAGAATGCTTGATTGATTGTTGAAAATATATGCGCATATACCGTTGCAGCTCGTTGGACAAGGCATCATACCATTGTGCTCCGCTCAGTCTGAGAGATACTTCAATACAGCGAGAATACCAGATTTAGAGATCGATGAGATCGTGCACTACGAGTACTCGGAGCATATGGTGGTCTATCACAAGGGCAAGTATTTTTTGTTGCCGCTTTATCACAACAACAGGCTTTTGAAACCATGCGAAATCGAGATGTAAGTTATCGCAAGCTTCGATCGATCATTTCTTCGATCGGAGCTAAAGACCAATTTTTTCAGACAAATCCAGGCGATTCTGAACGACCAAAGTTCACCGGCCGATGGCGAAGAGAAACTGGCGGCACTCACCGCTGCGTCCAACCGAACTGAATGGGCAAAAATGCGCCAAGAGTTCTTTGGCAGGGGAATCAATAAGTGCTCGTTAACTGCTATCGAGTCGGCTGCGCTTTTCGTGTCTTTGGACGACTACCCGTACGAGGACGACAGAGTACGTGAGTCCGTATTTCTTTCGAGGTGTATTTCCGATCACGCGTGTTTATTATTCCCAGAACGATCCGGAAAAATTGAGCTTTTTCATCGATGCCATATGCTGTGGTAATGGACACAATCGCTGGTGCGACAAATCTCTGATGATGGCTATCGGAACGAACGGCAAGGTGATTTTGCAAAAGTCATTCGTGAAATTCATTCATTCATAATATTTTTCGAATATTACACTCCGTTTTATTTTCAATTTTGTCGCAGACTGGTCTGATGGCTGAGCACTCTTGGTGAGTATGCTCGTCAACAATGCACGCAAATGCTCATACAGAGCGTGATTATATTTTTGCGTTGTTTAGGGCTGACGGACCAATCTCAGCTCACGGATGGGAATATGTTCTCAGCATGGAATGGCATGAAGGGTAAATTATTCTGCGTTATTTATTAATTAGCCAGGCGTTTTGATTTCATCGATATTCGTTTTATCTATATCAGCTACAGAGAAGATGGTCATACGAAAGGGACTCCAGAATTCGCACCGCCATTACCGGTCAGATTGCAATGGGATTTTAATCCGCGATGCATCGAAGCTATCGAGAAATCATCTATGGTGAGTTTTTCATCGCGAACGGCGTATCAATTTCTGCGATCGGTAATCGTATCTGAATCGGATTTTTACGCAGGTCGCAAAAGAAATGATCGCAGGATTGGACTTGTACGCGTACATCCACGACGATTACGGCAAGGGTTTTATGAAAAAAGCCAAAGTCTCACCGGACGCTTACATACAAATGGCCCTACAGCTGGCCTACTTTCGCGATGCTGGTAGAGTTACGCTGACGTACGAAGCCACCATGACACGCCTTTATCGCGAGGGCCGTACTGAAACCTTGAGGTCTTGTACTCCAGAAATGACCGCTTGGGTTAAGGCCATGGAGGATCCTAATTCAGCGGTATGGACAATAATAATGTGTTTTAATTTTAGCTGTTATATCTACCTGATTAGGCAATGAGCTCTCACCCTATTGAAAATCGCCAAACTTTCTTCGAGACCTTGTGGGAATCCCATCTAAGATATCCGAAAGGAAGAAGTCATTTGGATCCTAAGAACAATGATCGAGTGGTGTGCCTGATTTTCTGTAAATTAGGGGATTGGCGAGCGCGACAATTATTGAATTATTACAGAAATTATGTATTTATGGTAGCTCTAACCACTTGACTACCCAAGAGGGCACAAAGGCAATAATACATGTGCAGAAAGGCGTGCACGCCACAAATTATTTGGATTCACGAAAATTTGTGGAAAAATATAAAATGACAACGACGACGGCAACGACGTAGAACGCACACGTAGAAAAAAGATATCGTTTAGCAACATTTTCGCACGCTTCATTGTCTTGTTTTGGCATGCGAACAGTTTCGCAATCTAAAATTTAACTGTTTAATTATTAATCTCTCAGTTTTACTGTTTCCTCAAGTAACATTATTCAAGAGAGTCGAAGCGACTATTTCAATAATCAATGTATTTCAATACAAAAACTCTTTTGCAGGTCGAAGATAGATATCAACTTATGTTGGATACTGCAACTCGACATAAAAGGAATTACCAAGACGCAATGTGTGGCAAGGGAGTCGACCGACATCTCTTTGGACTCTACGTCGTTTCTAAATACGTACAAGTTGACTCTCCTTTCTTAAAGGTCTCGTCTCTTTTATTTCCGTTAAGTGAAACTTTAGGGAGCTACGTATATACAGTGATGCTAATGAGTAGGCAGACTTGAAGGAGTACCGTTAAGCGTTCTTTCGTTTGTCAAGCGCTACATTTTTACTGTAAAATGTCTTTTATCTGTAGGAAGTTTTTAATCAGCCGTGGAAACTGTCAACATCGCAAACCCCGCAACATCAATGTAACAAGGTCGATTATAAAAAGAATCCAGACTTCATTTCCGGTGGAGTAGGGTTTGGCCCCGTCGATCAAAACGGATATGGAGTGAGCTACAATATTTGTGGCGAAAACTTGATTATCTTTCACATTTCCAGCAAACGCTCTTCTCCTGACACAGTTCGTATTTATTCGAATTTCATGCTCTTTTTCTAAATTATATTTGTTGACGAGATTTCATTGAATAATTTTTAATTCTAACTTTTAGGATTCGAGAAGGTTTGCTAAGTTGCTCAAAGGAGCATTCACAGATATGAAAAATCTAATGTTAAAAACCAACAATATGAAGAATCAGAACATTTGATGCAGTTTATGTCAATTCATATTTGATCATCGATTATTTTCTTTTTGTTTTGTTATATGTCATATAAGATATCATCGAAATTTATTTATAGTTATCGATGTATATCATTACATTGATACATTAATATGCCTTTGGAAAACAATCTATAAATATATGACATTACTGAAACCATTTTAAACGCTGTACACAATTTAAGATTGAGCAATAAATTCCTACATGTTTTTGTATGTACAACTTATTTCTGTGATGTTTTTATCATAATCCATGATCGATTAACCATAAGAGATAGGAATAAGTATTTTCATAAAGCGAAATTTACTCTACTATAAGAAACACTAAAACGTTTGTAGCAATTATACTTCCAAAGCATAATTGCTTTGCTTTGTTTACTCCAGGTAATAGATTATCCGATTAGACGCGTCGCGCCGTAGTGGAGAAATCGCTGTCATTCCTTATTGCTTCTTGATTTATTGCCTGATTTATTAATTTTAATGTTGATACTTGTCGAAAAAAAAGTCGAAGAAATCCAACTGAAAAATAATTTTGGCAATAAAAATTACGCTTTTTCAGATATATAGCCGTTGCTTCATATCGAAAGTTTATAATTTTTTAAATATTTTTGAAAAGCTATTTTTGCATCGGTACTTTGATAGCTAATGTTTTACGATATATAGTAAAAAGAATTCATATCAGTGGGTTTGACGGTTACGTAGATATACATTTTTGAAAAATTTTCAGTAATATTCTTTTATTATTTGTAACTGATAAATTAAATTAAATTTTTCTTCACTTTCGGAAAAAATGTTGTATGCTACACAAACATCATATGCGCGTAAAAGGAAAAAAAAAACTTACTTTTTTGAAAATAAAATAAAAGTAAGGACAAATTTGCAAAATTCGCATTGCCAATCGGGTAATTAGTATGCATTTACTCCCTCTTTAACGTATGCAATGATAGTTTTCAGTGAACATTAATTTGACAGTCACTTCACAAGTTTGTCGATCGACGGATGTGTAATACACTCCACAAAATGCATGGATATTTTTTTGTTTATTTTATAATGTAAGCTTTTTAAACACAGCAACTCAGTGTTGAGTTTTGAGTGTTGCCGTAAATGAGCAATTGTTCGAAAATTTCAAAATCAATCTAAAAAAATTATAAAGAAATAACTTGTGGTAATTTTAAGTAAGTATACGGTTCACTTTGAAATTAAAAATAGTTCTTAAATAGATTTAAAATTTTGCACTATTTAGATGGCTAAAACATTATTTTAAATTAAGAAATCATTTTTTAAAGTACCGAGGTTAATCAGGTTAGTTATTCAATGAATGAATTTGAATTTCATGGATTGGCAAATAATGTATTCTGTAAGAACGTCTGGCGCTAAATAAAAATGTTCTGCTTTTCAAATGCAATTGACAACAATGTATTTTATAACGCGACATTCTGCCAAATAACTAAAATTCAAACTTTCTACAATAGGAATTTTAGAAAAATGGCCGAAACGTTAACATTTCACTCACCGTCAATATGGGATAAACGTTCAATAAGTCGAATGAAGGTAGGCATATTTACAACATTGCTTTATATCCATTGTTCAAAACTGACAAGAAATAAATCTGATAAACGAGATTTTAATTTCAATTATCAAAATAATTTGAAAATTTTTATTTTTCAAGAATACAAAAGTTGTTTTGATTATTTTTAGTGCAAAATAAAAAATGCAACGTACCCAGTTCCAATCAAGAGCTTACCACTGATGATAATGACAGTGACTGCAATTCACTTTGTCGAACAGCACGATTCTAATTCTGGCGATGTCGTCAGATTAATTTCTCTCAATTTTAACACGTTAGTAATAAAATCCTTATTAAAATTCCATCTCGCCAATGAATCACATACTTAGCATTGCAGGTCTCCCTGGGAAAGCTGTCTCATCGCAGGTTTCCTATCGTGGCTAACCGTAGTGATAACAATTCGATTCACCATACGACTGTTACTTCAATATCAAGGTTGGATGTACGAAAAGCAACCAACCAAGCCGTCGTTAGCCACCAAATTATGGGCATTTTCACTGAAGATACTACTTCTCCGGCAAAAACCTGCGTTGTATAGTTTTCAGAGTTTACTACCAAGGTTACCAGTACCGAGACTTGATGCTACAATAGATCAGGTTGGTTTTTGATTCATTAATGAAAAATAATTGTTCTTATTTGCTAATCAGATTCGGTTACAGTATCTGAAGAGCATGAAACCTCTCCTCGAAAGTCACAAGTACGACCAACTGGTGACATTGTCTCGAGATTTCAAGCAAAACCTAGGTTCAAAACTTCAACGATACTTATATTTCAAGTCGTGGTGGTCTGAAAATTACGTCACTGATTGGTGGGAAAAATACGTTTACCTGAGCAATCGCTCGCCTCTTCTTGTCAACTCCAACGTGTACGGACTCGATCATATTTACGTTCATCCAACTAAGCTTCAGGCTGCTCGTGCTGCTTACCTGATTCACGCGTTATTGCGCTATAGGGAACTTGTTGAAAGCCAACAACTTGATCCGGTATGTAATATTGAAAAAAATATAGGTTTTTTATGATCTACCGAAGATTGAAAAATTCTTACCATCAGATTGTTATACAAGGCGTACTCCCATTGTGCTCTTATCAATACAAACGGTACTTCAATAGTGCCAGAATACCGGGAATGGAAATCGATGAAATTGTTCATTACGACGATTCGGGTCATGTCGCCGTCTACCACAAGGGTAGATACTTCAGAGTTCCTATTTACCACAAAAATAGAATTCTACAGCCGTCAGAGATCGAATTGTATGTATTTGAAAGTTCTCTTTTTCTTTAAATCACTCATGAATCTCCAACGGCAAATAGACAGATCCAGTCGGTTTTGGACGACAAGAGTTCGCCATACGAGGGAGAGGAGAAATTGGCGTCGGTTACGGCTTTAAATCGAAGCGAATGGGCGAAGATAAGGAAGCAGTTTTTGAGCACTGGTATTAATCAATATTCGCTGCAAATTGTCGAGTCAGCTGCTTTTTTCGTTGCTTTGGATGACTTTTCATACGAAGATCAGAATGTAGGTACTATATACTTTTCATATTCTGTATCTGTGACAATTCGTCACTTCTCTTTTATATCAGGGGACAAGCTTGACTGATTTTTCTCGCACAACTTTTTGTGGAAATGGTTACAATCGATGGTGCGACAAAACCTTCTGTGTAGGCATCGGAACCAACGGCAGGGTATGTTTGAAAAGTAAATCTCAATTGTAAGAAAGATAATTTAATCACCGTATATTCTTTCTCAGGCTTGCATACATGTAGAACATTCATGGTGAGTATTATAGTGCTAAAACGATGTAGCTTTGTTTGGATTTGCTATACGTACACTTTTTAGGGCGGATGGCTTAGTTCCATCTCACGGATGGGAATACGTTCTTGGCATGGAACTTTTGAATGGGTAAGATAAAGTTAACGATTTCACTATTTTGCAGTTCCGCAAATTTTATGCATTTTAAAGGTACAATGAAGACGGTCACACTAAGGGATTACCGGAATTTCCACCACCAGCGCCAATCCGATTAAATTGGGACTTTAACTTGGAATGCCTGGAAGCTATCGAAAAATCGGCTTTGGTAATACGAATTCCCATCTATCATTTTTACACGAAAATTGATCAAATGTCTATCTCAGTTAGCCAAAGAACTGATTGCCGGAGTAGATTTATTCGTATACACGCACGATGACTACGGCAAGGGTTTCATGAAGAAGGTCAAAGTCTCACCGGATGCTTACATTCAAATGGCTTTACAATTAGCGTTCTATCGAGATATCGGAAAACTCGCCTTGACCTACGAGTCTACGATGACAAGACTCTATCGCGAAGGTCGTACCGAGACACTGAGGTCGTGCACTCAAGAGATGGCTGCGTGGATCAAGTCTATGAATGATGCAAAGTCATCGGTATGAGTTATTAATGGTATTTTTTAAGTTAAAACGGTCTATTGATCTGGAAAGGCAAACTGTTTTATAAATCTGTAGATTTTTGCATGCAAACTGTCCGTAGCACTCACTTTCTTATAGAAACTTACTTTCTAGGTCGAAGAAAGACGGCAACTTCTAATGGACACTGCAGCTCGTCATAAAAAGAACTATCAAGATGCTATGTGTGGCAAAGGAATCGATAGACATCTCTTCAGCCTTTACGTCGTGTCAAAGTACTTGCAAGTTGATTCACCTTTCTTGAAGGTACTATCAACTTACCTTCCATATTCATTCTATTTTATTTCTTGGAAAATATGTTTGGTCGCAGGAAGTATTTACTCAGCCATGGCAATTATCAACCTCGCAAACTCCTCAAAACCAACTGTTCAAAATGGATAGTAAAAGGTATCCTGAAGTGATTACTGGCGGAGGAGGATTCGGTCCTGTTGATGAGAATGGATATGGCGTAAGCTATATCGTTGGTAACGAGGACGTACTTTTCTTTCACATTTCCAGTAAACATGCTTCTACCGAAACTGTTAGTACCGCGATGATTCGACCATTTCTTTGGATGAATCATCGATGCCAAATGACATATTTGACTTATGCTTCTAGGATTCGAAGAGATTTGGTGGGGAAGTGAGCAAAGCTTTGGCTGATATGAAAAAGCTTTTGCAATAGAAGAGCTTCAGTTACGAAAATAGGCGCATTAATAATATTTATATCACAGATCTACGAAATATTTGAGCTGAAAACGAAATTGAAAAATAGCGAAAGGTGCTAATGTTTATACCGGTTAATAAATCAATATTGATCATTACATGACTCGCCAGATATCCATTAAATAACACGACGTGATAAAAAGAAATCGCCGCTTAAAACCTTCCTTATCGATGGACGGGAAGTCGTGCAAAAAACATTCTCATTTTCGCAGACATGCGTCTGTATTATTCACAACACCCCCTCCATACTACCCTACCTGCTGCGCGGAGCGTCCTGCTTAGTCCGCCTTTTTTCAACGGCAAGTTTGCCATACAGACGAGCGCGCGTGCATTCATGCAGCGAGTTGCGGTTCTCGCGACACCTGTTCCGAGCAGAGCCTCCATGAATTTCAAACGCGGAGTCTGTGCCGTCCGCCTGGCGACTGCAGTCGAGTGAGACGTTTTATTGATTGCACGTCGCTGCATGGACTTGCTAACACAATTTATCGGTAAGTCGAGCTGCGTTTTGTTATCGCCGCGTGAAGCTTCGCTCGAAGCTTATACCGCGTAGTTGATATTGACTTTGTTCATCGATTGCTCTTAGTACGTACATTGTGGACTAGTAAATGTTTTAATACGCTTCCATTCAACCGATGTAAGTGCTTCTAATACAGGGTGCATTCGTGCACAGTGTATTTCAATTCAGTAAACCATGCACAGTTAAAATCAAGAACAAAAGCTATTAATTTATAAATTGTAAAATCTTACTTATTTTCAATTTTACTGTTAAATACAACTTAAGTACCATGTGCATGCTTAAAAGCCAATGAAGAAAATTAAGCGTCAGCGGCAGAAATTGTCTCTCAACGTATCATTAAATGACAAGCGTAATTCAAAAATCCCTGAAATCCTGTGAAACAATGTTTTTAAGAACACGTTCAATTAATTTCATCGCAAGTCTCGGTTGCGTTTATAACGTTGAGTTGAAATTCGCCGAACGACATTACCAACGCAATCTTTATGATCAATTTAAATGACACGAACAACATAGAGGAATAACAAAATTTGGCAGTATTTTAATTTTAAGGCTGCAATATGAATCGTATTTAGACAAAATTATCACATTTATTTGCAGACTCTTTCTAAATTAGATTAATAATTTTTCTGTAAAAAGACTTACTTTTAAGTGATTTTACTCGCGCACCTAGGTATTTCATTTTATTTGCCTGCAAAATGAGCAAAAGAAATAAAATTCTCAATTGTTAATTATTGTCAATAGTGATCAATAGAAATAAATTATTATGCCTTTAAATGGAATCTAAGAAAAAATATTATATCACCAATAGACTCATTTATTCATATAAATTTATCAAAAAATACGAACGATAAAAAAATCTGAAACTTCATCTAGATTACGAAAAAGCCACTCAATTACACTCATTATTTGTCGGCACGAAAACCACTTACGGTGACCTGTTTCGAGCTGTAATGAGCATTATAAAGAAGTTCATAGAAAGATCGGAGTTATAACCTTGTTGTAGTCTTATACAGAAATTCGTTGTTTTATCAGTCGTTATAACGCAAAGAAAAAGAAAATATACGAATACGATAGACATATATATAAATTTAAAGGTTTGATTTAGATCAACAGAGGATAAAGGATGATCGAGACATCTCAACTTTTTCGGTATTTATCATGGCGGAAACGTTTCATTTCCTTGAAGGTAGGCGAAGAATTACGTTGATTACACCATTTTTATTATTTTTTCATAACATTCATTTTTACTTGTTACGAAGCTTTGACTTTTCCAAATCTAAAATTGCTTCTTTCAGAATTTAATAACAAATGCAGCATTCCCAGTGCCAATTTACAGCTTGGTTTTGTTCACGATGCTGACAACAGCAATTCACTTGACCGATCAAAAGACTTCTAATGCAGTTATCGTAACGTCGTCCCTTCATTTTTTCCCGTAAGTACCATGACAATTCAAAGCAATGCTCCTTTCTACAAACTAACGTTATCTGCACCGTTACAGTTTTCCTTTGGCCAATTGCTTGGTTGTTAGTTTCTTAATGTGGATAACATTAGTATTAGCGATTCAATGGACAATACGCGTACTATTATTGTACAAAGGTTGGGCCTACGAGGATCCCATTGCCGAAAAATCTTTAATCACGAGAATCTGGGCGAGTGCTTTGAAAATACTATTGATGTGGCAAAAACCGCAGCTTTACAGCTTTCAAGGTTTGTTACCCAGATTGCCACTGCCAAGTGTCGACGTCACAATCGAAAAGGTAAACTGATAAACTGGTTGCCCGAAAAATTCATTTCCGAGCTGAGCATAACGATCCACAAACAGTACCTGAGAAGTATGCGTCCACTACTCGACGACAAAGAGTACAATCGTCTGTCGATGTTGTCACGCGACTTTCAACGACAACCCAGTACGAAATTATTACAACGCTACCTGCACCTGAAATCTTGGACGTCACCAAACTACGTGTCCGACTGGTGGAAGAAATACGCTTACCTCAGCTGTCGTTCGCCTCTGATGATTAACTCCAACGTCTACGCGATTGACCTGATCATGATGGATCCGTCCAAGATCCAGTCTGCTCGCGCTGCTTATCTGACTTACGCTTACTTGCACTGCCGAGAGCTTATCGCAAGCCAACAATTACGACCGGTGAGTGGATGGCTTAGGGCGTTCGTGCTCTGTTTCCACGTGAACTAGCTTTTTCCAGATCGTTATCCAAGGCATCATACCGCTGTGCTCGCTGCAATACCAGCTGTTCTACAATACGACGAGGGTACCTGGCATCGAGGTCGACGAGGTCGTTCACTTCGGCGACGAGTTCCATCACATGGTCGCTTACCACAGAGGCAAATACTACGAGTTTCCGATTTACCACGACGGCCGGCTTCTGCGCCCGTGCGACTTGGAAAGGTACGCGCAATTTGAGCGAAGCTCCGTCTGACTTGCCGGTTTATGCTTTCTTGACGACAGGCAGATCCAATGGATTTTGAACGACGGAAGTGAGTCTTGCGCGGGGGAAGAGAAACTCGCGGCCCTAACTGCCGGCAATCGAACCGACTGGGCGAGAGCTCGACGGGAATTCTTTGGCTCAGGAGCGAACAGAGAGTCGCTGAGAATCATAGAGACAGCAGCTTTCGTTCTGATCTTGGACGACATTGCGTACGAATACGATAAAGTAAGAAGTTTCGAATGACATTCACTTGGGATGAATTTAGATATAGCAGAGATCGCTTGCAGGACGATCCGGAGAAGCTCAATAAATTCAGCGCCGCGGGCCTTCATGGCAAGGGTTACGATCGTTGGTTCGACAAGTCCTTCAATTTGTGCGTCTCGACGAACGGCAAAGTACACGGCGCGCTCTCACTGCGCTCGCGTTATCTGTCCGACTACTGACTTTTGTTTCATGCTTTGCAGGCTATCATTCACGCGGAGCACTCGTGGTGAGTAAATCGCGCTAACAAAATCAGTTGTCTTTCGCGAGCTGTAACGCTATGGTTTCAGGGCCGACGGCGCCGTCACTGCGTCGATATCGGAGTACGTCCTCAGTATGGACGTCATAGAGAAGTAAAATAGTGCCAAATATCCGTGTCGAGGCATTGTTTGCGCCCTACCAATCGAGTCGTCGATTCGTTTGCAGGCCCTACAAAGCGAACGGGCACACCAAGGGAACTGCGGATCGCACGGTGCCGTTGCCGACGAGGCTGAGTTGGGACTTGAGTCGTCAATGCGTTCAGGTCATTGACAGATCAGCGCTGGTAATTGTGCCTTATTCGAACACGACTCGTGTTCCCGCGGTGCCCAGGCCCATACTAATGAGATTGTCGCGCAGTTAGCCGAAGAGATGATTGCCAGCGTGGATCTCTACGCTTACCTGCACTACGATTATGGAAAAGGCTTGATGAAGAGGGTGAAAGTGTCGCCAGACGCCTACGTGCAAATGGCTTTGCAGTTGGCTTACTACCGAGACACCGGTAAATTGGCCATGACGTACGAGGCGTCCATTACGAGGTTGTACCGCGCCGGTCGCACTGAAACTATAAGGCCGTGTACTATGGAGATGGCTGCATGGGTCAAGGCCATGGACGACCCCAATGCCACGGTAGATCGTTTCACGGTTGTCGTGGCGGATGACGAGAGTGACGCTTCGATTTCTTTTCAGACAGCGGAAAAATTGGAATTGATGACGGCTACCGCGATCCGACATAGAATTAACTCGCAGGACGCTATGTGCGGCCAAGGTGTCGACAGGCATCTCTTCGCTCTCTTCGTCGTATCCAAGTACCTACAAGTTGACTCGCCGTTCTTGAAAGTATGACAGTTTTTCGTGTTTCTCTGACGCAAATCGAACAATTAATCGTCTTTTTATAGGAAGTATTCAGTAAACCGTGGAATCTATCAACCTCGCAGATCCCATTACAGCAGTATTTCAAGATCGACTTGAAGAAAGAGCCAAGATTCATCATCGGCGGAGCAGGTTTCGGACCTGTGGACGAAGACGGCTACGGAGTGTGCTATGCTTTCGGTGGTGAAGATTTACTTATTTTTCACATTTCCAGCAAACATACGTCGCCCGAGACTGTAATTTTTCCATCCGTTTCACACAGAATTCAATGTGTTTCGCGACAGTTTTTGAATTTTTTTGTGTTGTTCGCAGAATTCGAAGAGATTTGCCAACAATATCAGAAGTGCCTTGACGGATATGAGGAATATGGTAACTCAGAAGGCTTATGAGATGATGCGAAACCCGCACAATGATTAGATAGACAAAATTCATCTTTCTATTGTACAAATAATATTGCAACAAAAATAATTAATGGAACGTGCTAATGTTTTTTACAAATTTTTCTAGCTGGAATTCAATAGGATCTTTTCCTCTATGTGTAAGTAGCGTTCATTGTTTCAATTTTATTTTATTTATTTTATGTTTGATAGAGTAATGGTAATTTTATTAATAATGATCGCACAATGTACAACGTGATTATTACGACACGTGTGATAACAAATTTTAAGATTAAATTTCTTTGTAAAGAATATTGACATATAGCATATGACGTTTTCTTGCTTATATTAACTTTTTTAATAATATAAAATGATACTAGTAGAAATGATCAATATCTCATACATTTATTAATCCTTTTTATTTTCAATTTAAATTATTAATTTCAAATCATTTAACGTTATGAATTATGATTAATAATGATTTTAATGTGATAATTTTTTAATGTTGCGTTTACCAACTCATATAGAAATTCAATTGAAGCCCCTTTTGTAGTAAGAAGAAATGATTCAGTTTAAAGTGAAATTATGAATTCTTAAAATGATGAAAACAGAAAAGTGCATAGTTCATGTATAGAAAACAAACAACTATGGATATGTTAAAATCTTCGATATATTGGAAATAATATATCGAATCACATTTATTTTTGTATGTACAAAATATGTGTATTCATTTTAAATAATAAAAATACTTTGGAAATTATAATCACATTTATGTACAAGAATTAGGAAAACATCAATTAGGATTTTTGTTTGGTGCTCGAATAGATGCAATTTCATGTCCACTTATTTAATTCTATCCTTGTGGTTTTTAATTCCTTGTGCTCCACTTGGTTCATAAGAGACGCGTATGGTTTGTGACAGACTAAAGAATCCAAGGGTGGATAATAGTGTCGGTAACACAGGAATGTTAATACAAAACCCAGTGCTGAACCAATCATAACATCTACGACAAATATATTTACATATCGCACATATATTTACAATTACCGTTCGTTTTCAAGGTATTAATTCTATTGAAACTTTATGGATAGAAAACGTCTTTTATGTTAGTATTGATTACCTTGCCAATGATGATGATAATCACAGGTGCGACTGACAGCTATTGCTAGTGCCGTGCCAAGGGGAAGCACAAACAGGAATAATTTCCATGATTGTCCTTTACCATTCCAGCTGAAAGTATGAAGTTTACCGGCTAAATACAATGCTACGAAGCCAAAACTCGCGAACGCCACTGAAAAATGTTTCGATATTTTTTATTTTCAAGTTTGTTTAGTTTGAATAACGTTGTTTCAAAAATCATTTACGTGAGGAATGTCCACTGGGAAATGACTTCTTTCCATCTCTTATCACTGATGGGTCTCCTGTACATTCAAATTCAAAATTCACCTGGCCGTCTGGAAAACACCTATAAAAGTAATCTGGCCTTGGCCTTCCTACAAATATTTCGTCAGTCAATAATCTCTTTGATACTCGAACGTATAAAGTTGATACAAAAGCAATACAAACATTGACTCACCCACAATTATTTTCAATATGTTAGTTAAGACTCCAGTAAATCCTAATGATAAAGTGAATGACAGCACAGCCTGAGAAAAGTCACCTTTCTCTTTTTGTAGTAACATTATAAGTAGAATTACAGCTAAGGGAACAATAATTATCACCGCCTATGTGTTAAAAATAAAAGAACAATTAGAATAATTGCGTATAGATAACAGTTGTCATATACCAACTTACCCATAGTGTTGAAGCAGGTACATAGGACTCGACGCGAGGATTTTTATACAACCACAATTCATTTTCATGAATTTTTCTGTTGAAAGGTTCTGCATGTTCCAGCTCTCTAAAAATAGCGATCGATAATTACCGCCAATCATGCAATTACTTTAACTGTACTTTGACGTGTATGAATATTTGGTAATTGCCAAGAAAATGCATATCGAAAAAAGCAGTGAAAAGTAATTCGTATCGAGTTAACAATCAACCGCCACACTGCAAGCGCAACAAGGCAAACATTGCACTTGCAGAGTAAACCATTTGATTGTAAGCGCACATGAGAAAGATGCAGTCTAAATGAACTGCGAGGTATGATTTATGAGAGAAAAAGGTTGCTTACATATTGACGATCGCCAGGAATACACGAAACAGAATCTCCAGTAGCATGTTCGAGGAATACACTGTGGTCATAGCCGAGTCGGAGCCGACGATGGCATGTTCCTTACTACTGCAATTCGACGAAGGGGCAAGATCAGCCCATGTCAGGTCTCACTCGGACACGCGAGAGAGAACAGCTGTATATATAACTGAACAACGATTGTTTGATACTTGATTACGTAGCTGCGCGCCACTGGCAACGACTCATGCGCGTACATCTGCTGCTGGCGGAAAACTTTGAAAAATATTTTTCTTTCTTTTCTTTTTCATTTTTCAGCTCTGTGTTTCAAGGACAATTTGACGTATTTCTGCTGTTTATAAACAATCACACGTGGAAACGTGATGGTAGCAGAAGATTTTTTGTGCAAACGACAACAATGGCGACATTTAATAACCTCCTGAAAAAGCACATTTAACATTAATTAATTAAGCATATGGAATTGTAGAAAGAAATTATAAAGTAAATAGTTATTGAAAGGCTGTAGACTTTGATTGCTAGTAAACTAATAAAAAATAAGTATTGAAAAATCCTAACCTGCGAAACAAATTCTTGCTAGTTAGAATTCTAGAATAGTTCAATCAATTTTTTGTAAAATTACGAGATTATATTGATAAGATAATGTGAATTTATATTTTTTGCACGTTTTTTTGAAATTTATTATCAAGTAAATAATTTCTTAAAAAATCCAAACCACCTCTATCTTTTGATTAAAATAACGAGCAACGATTGTGTGAGAGTACAGACTATAGAGCAACACTGTAGGCGAAAAAAGTGCGTGAAATGGCCGCAAGGCGGCTGCGCTTCATGAATTTTTTCAGTCGCTCATGACTCTCGTGAGTGATAAGTCAATGTCCAGACTCCTATCCAGTCCAGTGAGGACTGAGGACTGAAGAGCCAAAGCGTATGATATGTATTAATGTTTTACCAAGCATTTCTAAGCTTTTTCCAGCATTGTGATAAGTTTTCGCAACGAAAATCTTCTAATTAGTGTTAAATTCATTTGTAATTGAGAAGATTATAAGTGAACGTTATCAGCGTTATATCAAACAAGAAACGACGTTGTATATTTTCGTCGTTTGGATAGCTTCTAAGCCATATGACGCAACAGCCGATCATGAATATTCTATTTAACAAAGTTTGTTCCCGGTTCATTTCATTTCTCCTTGTGGCTTAATTTATTGTTAAAATTACTTTGGAACGAGAAGGATGATTGCCAGTGAGCGATATTGCAAGGTAAAGTTGATCGACTGTTAACGTTTGCTTTTGTCAATTCATTGTTTTTCAAATAGATAGTTATATTTTTCTTATACAAAATAAAATTTATTCAAAATGTCAAACAATGATTTTTTAAGAATTGATTAAAAATGATGATTAATCATTTGAATAAAAAGAAAATACTTGTTTACGTGTGTTGTATACAATGTGTGTTTGTATGTATCTTACTAGTGTTCTATTTATGATCTTATATTCAAACAGCTAGCAAGCAAGGTGTATTTCAAAGACTGAACCATGAATATTTTGTGGTTCAACTAAAATTTTAAGATTATATTGCAAAAATGCTGATAACTAATCAGTCTGCAACCTCTACAAATCAAAGTGTAAACCCAAGTATGCCGAGTCCAACTGGAGAAGTAATGGAGGAGAATCTAAATAAGTTGATATCTTACCTCCATCAATTAGCTGGTACTTATGAAGTTGAGGTAGATGCAATATTGAAAGATCACTGCTATGCTCGACCATGGAATTGGAAACCAGAAAATGCTTATGTGAAACCTGTAAAAAAACTCTTCTTTCCTAAATCATCAGGTGGATATTTAAGGTGAGTATTATCCTTGTGGTTATTAATAATAATTGAAATTCAGTTGCATTAAGTTTTATTCAATATTTAATAGAGACAACAATCAAGATGAAATAGTCAATGTTGATGAGAATGACTCAGAAACTATAGCACCGCCATATGATTTGGCCAAGATGAAACAATCGATGGATGAATTTCAGAGAGTAGCTAATTTTGTGAAGCCTGAAGATACAGATTCAGATTGGGAAGAGAAAATAGATAAAATATTGTGGTCTTCAGTGCAAAATCGAGTTTTTGCCAGAGTAGTTAGAATATTGAATTCAGAAAGAGTAGCTAGACTAGCCAAAGTAACCAGTTTACATGAACCTATATTGAGAAGGACATCCATTGATACTACAGCAAAAAAGTTTCGGGAATGTTTAGCATCAGTGAATTGGGATTGGAGAATAACTCAGTGGTTACACAGTTTATTGTTTGACTACCTACCTCAAAATTATTTAGCCATTTACTTGGATATTTTGCAGACTTTAAGGCAGAAAATTCCTCAATTGATTGATAAAATGGTAGCTATACAACCAAATGTTAATGCTAAAAGCCCTTCTTCAGTTACATGGGAAACTTTAGGTCCACTTTTAAAAAAGTCTTGGGATCCTGTTGGACCTATTTTAAATGCTAACAAACCAGTAAGCATTTTTTAATAAAAGATACTTTAAAATATTTGTTTAATACTTTGATAATAAATCTTATTACTTTATAGAAAAAATTACCAGGAAATCCAATTTTAATAATTGTGCCAAGTGGTTTGTCAATAAACATGTCATCACGACAACATAAGTGGATCACTCAATTTGGTCACCTTGGAATGGTGATAACTGTAACTCCACACGTTGCCTTAACTACAAATAGACTGACTGTGATGGCTGGTATTGAGCAACTCATCCAAGCAACGAGAGGTAAAATACAAGATGCCAGAGCAGATTATCCCAGCCGGCCTATTATTTTAATTGGCTTCAATTCTGGAGCTGGAATAGCTTGTCAAGTATGTAGTAGCTTTTTAATTCTACAGAATATTACGAAAGGTTACTTTAATTTCTAATAAAAAAAATATTCATTAATAGATAGGCCAAATGGAACACGTAACAGCAATAGTTTGTCTGGGATTTCCATTCAGCACAGTAGATGGTAGACGAGGTACTCCGGAAGATACTATTCTAGATCTTCGTTGTCCAGTGATGTTTATAATTGGTCAACACTCGACCATCTCTCGGGTAGATGATATCGAAGATCTACGCGAACGAATGTTGGTGGCGACAAACCTCGTAGTTGTTGGTTCGGCTGATGATCATTTAAGGGTATCTACATCGAAAAAAGTTGCTGAGAAAATAAGTCAAGGAATGGTAGATCGATGCATTCTTGACGAAATTGCCGATTTTATTGGTAGTATTCTTGTGCAACCGCATCCTTTACCATTGAGAGCACCAGGTATTTATTTTTTGCGTGTTTTACATTTAAAAAAATTTTAATAAGTGTATTTTGTCATATAATTAATACTCGTCTGTTAAATAAATTTAGGTAGGAAAAACGACAATAGAAAGAGGAGAAATTCTACAAATAACTCGGAAGTCAATGATTCACAATTACCGAGTCTAAAGAAATTAAGGCCGCAGTCACCGCAACAAGTCAATGCTACTGGAAATTCAACAATTACGACTAACATGTTACCAAAGGGAACTCTCGTAGCATTAACTGGAACGGCAGCAACACAAACTCCCAGAAGAAAATCACGAACTGCTTATGCATCCGGCCAAACTGCTCAGGTAGTCTGTAGTTTAAGATTATAACTACTGCGTCAAAAACAATTTGTAGTATTGTAACTAATATAAATTAATTTTATTAACTATTTTACTGTAATTTTTTAGTCGAGTATTGATAATACGTCTGGCGGAATTACACTAAACATCGGCTCTTTTGCAAGCTTATCGCCGGTAGGACCAATCCGTTTTGAGCCAACATCTATAAGCTTGCAGACGCCTGGAAAATCTGGTAATACGATCAAAACGACAAATGCGTTCATCAAAGTGTCGAAAAACAATCAAGTGAATATAGGAGGTCCACAGAACGTTGCGAAGATAAAAATGATCATGCCAACGAAAAAAATCGCGCATAGGTCACCGGGTGGCAAACTAGGCGAGGTCAGCATGGTTAATGTCCTCGCGCCATCCAGTGCTCATATTAAAATAAATCCTCCAGTAGCAGGTATAGTCACCGGTTTACAAACCTTTATTATTCCGCCAAGACAATATTTTAAAAATAATCAGGGTGATTTTCAGTAGGCAATTTGAACACGACTCCAGGTACTATAATGCCGCCCATCACCACTGTGAAAAATCCATTAAATGCTGCAACGACGGGTAAACCAGCGAATGTGCTTTTAGCCACGAAAGTCTCGCCGACGACAACCTCTATCGCTACCACTACAACCTCGATAAAAGGTAGAGTTCTGTCTAACCCTGTAAAGAATGAGTAATTTCTGATATTACTTTTTTTTCTTTAAAATATGCGTTTTCAATCGCGGTTATTAAAAGTGATGTGAATTGCGTATTCGTACTAGTATTTTTAGTTACCTCACACTGAAAAACAAAATCAATTGGCATTCCTCTCGCTTCAATTCTTATTTTCAAAATCATGTACGTACATTTATTTTTGTATTAATGAAATTATGTAAAGTCATACAGACGCATGGCAATGGAGATTTAGACAGTCATTATAGATAAAAAATTCGTTTAAACTCTATAACTGTGATAAAATGAAATATTGTCGAATGATATATGAAGCGATTAATGGAGTAGCATAGTATTAATTTATTTTTACACTACATATTAAAAACAAGAAAATTTCATTTGTTAACACCATTCCAAAAACAAAAGTAAACCGTTTGTATAATCCCCAAAAGCTCAGTCTCGTTTTTTATGTTGAATAAATCGTTTTCTTCACGGCAACAACATTTTTTATATTCCTTTCCTTCCTCCTCATTTTTTCTATTATTTTTCATTGAGAAAAATTAGGCTGGTTTGTCGGCTCAGTGAGGTGTCTGTGTTATTATAGTGGCGGACATTTCAACGATGGCTGTAAACAGGAAACCAGTGCAGAACCAGTCATCGAGGCCACCGCCACCACTGGCTAAGACAAGTCGGTCCCCTAGCAAGAGCTTACACAGCTCCAAGGTATGGGTCTAATGAAGAAAAAAGCACGTTTGCACGTTTGTCGACCCACCCCTCGTTATTATTGCATACATGCTTGGAGAATGCCCGTTTTTTTTTAAATATATTTCATTATTAATCAAGAAAAATGTCAATAATAAATGTAAATGCTCATATTGAAGGCATGCTTACTATAGTTTTTCTTCTATTTTTTTATTAAAGCCTAAATTGGCAGAAAGAATAAGACTTAACGAATATAATTTGAATAAATCAAAAATTCGTTTGACTATCTGTTTTCGAAATGGAGTACTGTGAAGCATTTCTTGTAAGTGTAGTATTGAATCCTGTGAGGTTTAAAAAAATCAAAATTCTACTTTGATTTTCATAGTTTCCATACTCCTGTAAATTAAAAAATTTTACAACTATTTTTACAGCTACCTACTGAGCAAAACCATAACATTGAAGATCTTGGCAACATACTTGACATCCCAATAATTATTGCCAAGGAAGGTGAAAATCTCGAGCATTTGCAACCTAATAAGATGCCTAAATTATTATTTATTGGAAGTAGCAGTATTGGTAAAAATGAGTTACCTGTCAAATACACCAAATTTATCATAGCGAAAAGAACTGATGAAGCGGATGTCAACAGAAATCCATCGATAATTCTTACTAAAAATCGAAGACCCAGTGGGAAACTACTTGTCCTAAATTCTAAGGTTGAGGAACAGCCTAGAAATCAATTTAGTGATGTACAAAAAACTCAGAAGTAATTTTTTTTAAACGTGTATTGTATATAGTATACTTTATTAATCATATAAAATTGAGTTCGCGTCATTTTATATTTAACTGTAAAGACTGATTGACTAACTGATGAAGATTCAGTAAAATTGGTAGATAAATATTTTCAAAAATCATATGAATAATTATAAATAATGACGAGTAAACAAATGCAATTAATATAGAGATTTTATTATTCTATTACTGACTAACAAGTATATAAAAAGTGGTTTTTATGATTTACTCGCTCAGTCTACAAGTAAAGCAATTTGGTAGAATATATACTTTTTGAAACAACATGTAAACATTAAAAAACGAATTTAAAGGAAAATTTGTTATTTTGTACATCGTATATTATCTCATAAAAAAGCTTGCGATTTCTTTATTGTTGAATTTTATTTTGAATAAAATATTCTAATAAAATTATGTTTTCGTTATAATTCAATAAAATATTCCAGAAACAATTTTCTAAACACTAGACTTAATTGCTTTTTAAAACTCTGATGAATTTTTTATGATAAAGTAAAATTTTTATGATAAATAAATTTTTATAATAAATCTTAACCTTAAGTTTATTCATTTAGATAAATATTCCCTTCTTTTGATGTAAACATTACATATAGTTTTTTACTCAATTCTGGACCAATTCTTCTTATAGAAGTTATAGGTCCCGCAGCTCGTCTTATCTAAAAATTAGAAAAAAGTACTACTTAGAATGATTTTTAAATTCAAAATTTTTTTATAATACCCACAGGAACATCCCTTAGTAATATTTCTCCTTCAGCCGAAGTGCAGTTAGCATAAGCCTAAAAAAACGTTAATTAAGTTAATAAAAATTACGATCCTTACAAAGTAAGTATAATGTACTAACTTCAATCAATTGTACTGGACTTTTATAAATTGAAGTGATGGCTTCTGCTGATTCTAAACTCATTAGAGTGAACTGGCAAAGTTGTTGCTGCCATAATCTTTTCAAACCATTACCATCTTTGTCAACTTTAACTGTGTCTCTACTGTCTGTATTAATGAACCAGTCAACTTTAGATGTATCCTGTCTTTTTTCTATTTTCGAAGGCAAAAGCGCCAACGATCTCGTATACTGATGAATCAACAAAGCCATTTCTTCTGGATTTTCTATTAATCTACTAGTAACATTAAGGTCTAATTGACTGTCAAGCAAAATTTCTTCAAATTTCTTTTTTGAGATTTTCGGAAGATTTGCTAAAGCTTTCTCCTCGTTTGATTTGTACCTCTTTCTCTCTTCAACTGAAAAATTGTATAACTTATTAAATTTTAAAATTAAAATATTTTTCATGTAACATTACCTAATCCATTGCATATGTCGTCTTGCATAGCTCGGCCCTTAGCATTTTTTCTAAACTTAAAATAAGTTTCTACTTTATAAATAACTAAAAATAAATTTTTGGCAGGCATGCGAGACTTTATTATGGATAATTCAGAAATGAAAGTATCATTAGCCATATGATTAATTGTTTCTTCATGATCCCAAATAACTAAAACATGATCTTCATTGACTATTTTTGTACGTGAACACACTTCATGCTGATCATTTATATAGTAATCTTCTACAGTTCTGTTCCAAGTTATACTTTTTGGTATTACTTGTGATTGAACTTTATATTTAATGTCAGTATCTTCTACAGTTTTTAGAAAATTAGTAAAGAAATCTAAACTTTGTATAACATTGTCAATAATAATCTCCATCATTTTCATACTGTAATCAGCTTTTATGACCAAGCGATTTTTGGCATGCAATTGCTTTTCTGCTTTTAATCTGGCAGCTTCTTCTTTTTTTCTTAGCCTTTCTTGTTGTTTTTCCTGTTGCTTCCTTTTTTTTTCTTCGTCGACTTTCTTTGTCTTTATTGATGCACTCTTCTCTATAATTAAACAAATCATTAAATTCAGATTATGAACTAAAGTTTACCTGTACTCATAGGATGTTTACCTCTCTTCTTAGCTTTATTAGTTCCAGTTTCATCTTTATTAGCATTATTTAATAAATTTAAATTATTTATTTCCTTAATGTTAATATTTGGGCCTAAATCATTATATTGAGTCTTGTAATCAGAATCACTTTCAGATTTACTTTTTTTACTTGTAATTGAACTTTTTGTTGATTTTTCAGGTGTTATTCTTTTGAGTGGTGAATTTATTTGTACTTCCATATTTGTAGATGTACTCTTACTGATGATTTCATTTTTACATTTAGATTTTTCTTGAGGCACATAGTTGATAGCCTTCAAATTCAAACTAGGAAATTGAAATTCAAAATCACTTGGATCAGCACCTACGTCTAAATCGTTAGGAGCCTGATATTTTAGCGAGTTCTCCTCATCAGAATCACTAAGTTCGAAAATCTCCATATTATGAAAATTATTGTTAAATGATTATTAACTACAAAACTATAGTGTCCATATATTGTAAATATAACCTCGATGGAACTTTGAATTTTTATATAAATCAAATTTTACAACATAATCAACTTTTGCGAGATACGCTAAATTTATTTAATGATTCCCATGCACAAAGTAATAAAGAAAACCATCTTTATAAATGATCGACACACATCAAACCTTAAGAACTTTAACAATAAAGTTATTATAGCAACCGTCTACGCACTGGCCCGCCAGTTTTGTAAGATCAAAACAAATTATCTTCTTTACCTACCGAGTTAGCGGGATGATTGTTTTGAATTTGAATGCCTGAAGCGAAAGATTAATTGTTCTGCCAAGTTTAAACTTTCACTTTACATTGCATTAATTTGTAAAATTCGGTAGTCGTTTATAATCCTTCATGCATGTGCTTTTTCTAAAGGATATTTTCATTATCCTCGCAAATCTTCTGCATCACGTTGTTAAATGTGACTTTATCAGTCAGAAGTTAAAGTAGGATATCTACTTAGATTCTCATAGACAGCCAACTCTTTCTTCTAACCGACGGTCAATTTCTCGAGCTAGTTTTTCGACACATCGGAGAAGGTACTTTTTTCAGAAATATCGTAACTTTAACTTTCAAGCCATTTCATGAATTTGAATATTATGAATTTTATATATTACGTGCGATTATTTTAGCGAGTTTCTAGATAGAAAAATCTAGAAAAAAGTGCTAAATTATAAAAATAACGTTTGCGAAAGTAAAGGTAAAGTCAATTGTTAATGGTCAATATCGCCTTTCCTATAGTTTGTATGAAAACCATGAGATAGGTATCGCATGATACTATTGCAACAGAGCGTGCGGAACAAGTGCGAGTTTCCAAGAGGTAAACGACGAAATAGTACATTATGCAATGAGTGCGCAAAGTAGGTGATTCCCACACACGCATTCCCGCCCGAGCGAAGCGAGCGGGAATCACCAACTTCGCTCACTCGTTGTATAATGTACTATTTCCTACTAAACTGCGTAAAGTTCGATTTTGCGCACGATAGTAGGAAAAAATTTTTTTTATGCGATATACATTCTGAATACTATAGACACTTGCCGGTATTTTACATACGTATATTCTAAAAATTTATAGTTTACTCTTTTACTCGGTATACAAAAGAAAACCTTTTGTTCCGAGCTCACTTACTTTTTTCTTCAAAGCAGTGTTCTATTATGAGTGATGCAACAAGTCTGTAAAAGCAGTGCATGTTGATCGAACTTCGCGAGATGTTTTATAATAGTACTACAGGAAGAGAACAGGAATTCCTTAAATAAAAGCGGCACTCTTGAACGCTGCGTCGCCTCGTCATTTCATTTTCGTCACTGCTGAGTTCTAATATTTATTAATATACAAAAACTATGCATTTCGTAACTGATCTAAAGATACAATAATATTTGTACGACTCGAAGAGCTTCTAAATATTTAATAAGCCTTTATGTAACATCGAAAACATTGCCGCCAATATCGAGTGAATATATTAAAAGTCTAAGCGCTTTGCATTTATTTAACCCGTTTACAAAAGGAAAACGAGTGTGAGTCATTTTTAATTAAAATGTCATTCTCGATCGCTGTTTCATTCTGTCATCGTTCTCGTTCGTCACCAGTCTGTGAACAAGTTTAGATTTATAATAATAGGGTTACGGTCAACTTTCGGATTTTAAGGCTTTGGCGATCAAAGCAACATGAAATTCATTATCTTTAGCCATGCCGCAGCATTCAAAAATACTTCGAATTTATTTTCGAGGCAATAAGTCATCTCGAGATTTTCTTCGATAATTGGTTCCCCGAAGAAGCAGTGACGAAGTATTTTAGGAATGCAATCATCAAGCCAATAAATACAAATTAGATTACAAGCCCCTGATTCTTCGTCTGAGAAGTGGCAACATGGATAATTTTATCAGGCAACTTTTTTTCAATCTATCGAATACTTTCATTTTTATACTGAGATACTTACGCAAAGTACGTTCAACGAACATTTCCGCTATACTGGGCGACGATCGTCGGAGAGAACTCTTGACATCACTCTTTTGTGTTTCCCAATCGGCCAAAATCGATTGTTGGCTACGCACGTCTATCTATGACATCGCGTTACCAACGATTTGCGATCACCGCAAATTTGGCAGCTGGCACGCGCAGATTATGAGGCAAATATCGCAGGACATTATGACCGAGATGAGAGTGTAGGTAAAACACGACAAAACTCAAAAAATAATTGAAATTCTGTTTAATAAAATGACTTCCGACTGAGATTGTTAATTACAGCTGTCGTTCACTATGAGTGATTGCAAATGCGACCTTGTGAAGCACTCGAAACAGACACGATATACTGTGTGACAGTTTGATCTGCAGGCCCAGCCTGTCTGCACGCGATTTTCTTTTCGGCGCACGATTTCATCAAGTGCGCGCTCATTTGGAGCATCTTGCGACACGAGTCTATAAGCACCTTGCTATGACAAAACGTATTGCAGATCGCAGCTTGAGTTAAAATTGTTTGTCGATTCGTTGATCGATCGTCGCGTGTGGCGTTTACCGTTTTTAGTTACGAGCGCCCAAGTCACAATCCCATCTACGATGTCAAATCCGTAGGGACGGTTCTTTCTTGCGATATGGCGTGTATTCTTCGTGACCGTGCAATTCCAAAGCTACTCGCGTTCCGTGCGCAATGTCGAACTCGAGTTGATATTGTTGTCATTTTACGTTTAGAGCTGTCTATAATGGGCCCCGGAATGTGAATAGAGAGCTTTTATTTCGAATTAAGTTACGACTCGCTTACGAAGTGGTGCTTTATTTCTGGTGATATAGCTTGCATTGAGTTTTACAAACGCGTTTCACATATCAGGACTTTAATGGAGTAAATTTCTGTTCAACAAAATCGCGTGCCTTATATCGAGTAGAAAACACTACTCTATTGTAAGTCTTCATATAATCAGTATTATAGCTTCTGCGCAACCATAAATTTACACCCGCCGTAAAAGTGAACGTATAGGCACACTTATTTACAGTAAACTTCGTCTCTTCAATACAGTACGTGCTTATTGGCTTGGTGCACGCTTCGAATTTCTAGTGACCGAGTGAATTACATGTAATATTTCAAGCAGTTTGCAACTATTTTTAGATTAAAAAAGCACGATGATCAATTTTCAAAGTAAGCTGACTTTAGTTTTTTGATTATTCCGCCAATGCTCTTTTCAAAATCACGAAACAAGAGAAAATTTTGTTCATAGTCAGTCTAAACAAGTTGAGGTTCATAACGGTGCTACCGCCAACTCTCAGGTTTAAAGGCCTCTGCGATCGGAATAACATGAATCTCATTGTTTTTAGCGACGTCGTGTCGTCTAAAAAGTCCTCGTATTTGTTTTCCAGATAGTTGGCAATTTTCAGACTTTCTCCGACAATGATTTCCCCAACGAAGCACAGAAGCAGTACTTCGAAGGCCATCAGCAATCCGATCGACACAAATTTGATCATGAGTCCCTGCTCTCGTGTCTGAAAGAGCGGCAAAAAAGACGGAACGATCGTATCTTTGCAAGTAGTGATTCAGTGTAAGAACTCACGTAAAGTATGCTAATCGCTGAAAAGCATATGCCGATGGACATTCCGAGATGCTGAATAACAACTGCCGAGGAGAACTCCATGCATATCATTTGCCCATATTCCAGTACCCTTTTGTGCTTCTTCACTGCTCGGTAAATTGACCGTTTGTCGTGCATGCCGATCTCCTGCATCGCGTTGCCCGCGATTTGTAGTTCGCTGCAAAGTTGGCACATGAAAATTAAGAGGTAGGCGTCGCACGACGTTATTTCGATTAGTCGAAGAGCACACAATGCAAATTCGGCCACGTAGACAAATATATTCCTGGAATAAAAACGTGCGTTTGACATTAGCGCCAGCGAGACTTGATCGTACCGTCTCGGGTGGTCGGCAATCACCAGGGAAATCGGTGAAGCACTTTTGGCACGAGCTCCGAGCAAATAGGAATGATATCGCCTCTGTACAGCGGGTAAGAAAAGTACATGGAAACCACAAGAACGTACGACACGATCATGCCGCTTATCAATTTGACCTGTAAGCTCAGCCACTTGTAGGCGATTCTCTTCTCTGCCGACGACTCTTTTAAATACGTGTTGATTTCCAGTGTCTTGTGGTACAGCTCTATCATTTTCTTTCTAAAAGGGAGCGTTCGACAGACGAATATGCGCAATGAGCTTTCAAATGGCGAGAGAATTCAATCGAAACAAATCACAATGATATTGATCGACGCGAGATCTAAAATACAACTGATTTACCTGTTGAGTATGCACGGCAGAATTTTCATGAAAGCGATATTTGCTATTGCCGCCTCTATGGAGAACCTGTTAAAAAATATATCCTTTTGTACGTGTACGATTTACGTATTGTTGCGTTTAATTAACTAATTGAACTGGGTGAGTGCAGTTTTTCGTGAGTTAAGAGTTTGGTATACAGGTGGTTGCTATTTTTTATGCTCAGCATTCACTGTGTATTGTACGAATTTTTCGACTACATAGTTTACTTAATCTTTAAAGAGAAAATTTGTATTTTTTTACAAAGCGATGTCTTATTTATAAAGTACTATGTGATTTGAAGATCGTGTTGTTACCCGAACATTATTTTGTGATAAGCATCATTCATAAATCGTTCATCTATTTTACGCCGAATGCCTTTTTTATTACAATTCATTCGTTAGATTTCGTATTATTAAGTTCCACAGCTGATGTTATTAATAAAAAAATGCAATTTGGTCTCGCATCGCGACACGACATTTAACTGCGAAATCGACTTTTGAATCCTTCACACGTAAATTTTTGGATGAATCAGGTGTAGTACCGGACAAAAAAGCTTGTGAAAAAAATTAGAATTGTCATGACAAACTGGTTTACTTGAAACCTAAGCATCTAGCCTTAAAAAAATTACGAAGCAAATACAAAGTGTATTTTGTCTCTTGACCTAAGTTCACTCTGCCATTGCTCTTTTCAATATCAAGATGCATGAGAAGATCTTATTTATCGTCAATCTAAATAAATTAAGATTGATCATTGTGTTATCGCCTACTCTCAGACTTAGAGGTCTTTGAGCTCGAAGTAACATGAAACTCATTGTCCTTAATGATTCGGTGTCGTCCAAAAATCCTTCGAATTTGTTTTCAAGGTGCTCGGCTATTTTCAAACTTTCGCCGGCAATCGTTTCTCCCACGAAGCAAACAAGCAATACTTCGAAAGCAAGGATCGATCCGATACTTAAAAACTTGATTAGAATAGCCTGGTTCTTTGTCTGAAATGTCAATGAAATTGAATAACATTTCTCAAGGAAATAATATTTTAATATAACGTTGCTATCTAAAAAATCATTCTAGTTAATCCCGGTTGATATACATTAATGTGATTGATTAATAATACGTTTTATCATAAAACTAAAACGTATGCTTTTTATTTCGACCGAGATTAAAATAAGATGGACATTTTTTCAGGGACATTTTATTTATCACGTGGATAATTATTACTTCGAATTAAAACTTACATAAAGTACGCTAATTGCTGCAAAACAAATACCCATAGACATTCCAACATGCTGAACCATGATTACCGAAGAGAACTCTTTGCATATCAATTGCCCGTACTCCAGCACTCTTTTGTGTTTCTTGATTGCCCGAAAAATCGACTGCTTGTCGCGCACGTCTATTTCTATCATCGCGTTGCCAACGAGTTGCAGTTCACTGCAAAGATGGCACATGAAGATCACGAGGTAAATGTCGCATGATATCATTGCGATGATTCGCAGGGAGCTGATGATAAATTCATATACGTAGATAAATACGCTCCTAGAAAAACGAGGTAACTTATTGCTGAGACGTGAGGTGCCATGGCCATTATATTAGTACAGTAGTCGAGAATCACCAGGGAAATTTTTGCCAGAACATTATTACTACTGGCATTGGAAATTGATCTCCTCTGTACATTGGGTACACGAAATATGTGGCGACAATGATCACGTAAGATATGATGATGTTGCTTATTAATTTGTTCTGCAAATCCAGCCAGTTGTAGGCGATTTTCTTTTCAGCAGATGACTCTTTTAAGTAAGCATTCATTTCTTGAGTCTTCTGATGTGACTCTACGATATTTTTCCTGGAAAAAGGGCGTTAGACACGTATAGAAACAAAGTGTGAGGTACAAAATTGTTTCGTCTTCAAACAAGAAGTAAGCTTAGTACAGCTTTCACGCTGATGACACAAAATTTATATGGAAATTGAAACTAAAGCTTGAGGTTTTGACGGGTGTACCCTACCCTTGCTTTTATTTTTTTTACCTGTTAATTACGCACGGCAGAATTTTCACGAATGCTGCAGTTGCGAGTGCGCTTTCAATACACAACCTGTTGAAAAATAGACATTTTTGTACGATAAGTACGTTATTGACCTAATACTTAGAAACTTTCAAATAGCTAGCCGCTACTTTGTAAGTGCATTAAAAGCTGTAACCTTCCTTAACTTATGAACTTTAAAAAACAGGCTTAGAGTTCGTGATTAAGGACATTTTTGGTTTTCTCTTTTTTTTATCAAGTTTAAGATAATAAGTAATATGGCATATTTAATTATGTACATGTTTAGAGCACGACGAAGGAAAAATCCTGCCGTAGGAAGAATTGCACCCTTCAACGGCATCACTCGATTTTAACAACCAACCCATTTACGTTCATATTTTATTTTTGACATTAATATGGCAGAGTACAACACCTTCGATTAAACAAGTCGAAAAATAGCGCATTTTAAAGTGTTTATTGGGCAGGGTATTTTGCCTAATTATTTTATGATTTAGTGTACGTGTATGAATGCGTGTGATCGACTCATGCTGTTCAAAGCAACAGAAGAAAGGGTGCGTATAAAAATTTTGAAAACATCGAGTATCAAGACAGAGAGAAAGAACAAATAATTACTCAGCCCTCCTGCTTTTGTCATCGTTGACTGCCAATACGCTGTACTGCATGATGGCGATAGCAATCGTAGAAAAAATGCCAGCATGACATTTCAAAGCTCGAAAGTTACCCAACGGTTGATCCTCTTTTGGCCACAAACCGACAACTTTATGGAAAAATGCGCTGTTTTCGAACAGTAATGCGCGACGCTCTTCCATCTCGTCGACGGTTTCCGGACGATCGACCGCGGCCTTCAAAGCAAAATCTATTTTCGAGCGTGACTCGTGGTAAACTATTTCTTCTACGATTCCTTGCTTGATATCAATCAATCATAAAATATTCATTGAACTGACGATACCTGAATCCATTTGAGAAAACGAAACGAAGTACTTCATCGTCTGGCAGCTACTGTTGAGAAATGTAAATGAACCAACGATTGTCGACAGATAAAGTTTTAATAAGATGCACTTTCTTGATACAAAGATTCAATGCTTCGATAAACTCGTTACCGCAAGAAATAATAAGAAAAAATTGGATAAACGCGACAACTTTGAAACTGAATTCATGTTGGAGTAAGAAGCTCCAAAGAATTTTTTCATCCCGAAGAATCACAGACGAAAAGAACATTCAATAATTGAAAACTGTTCTAACTCAGTGATGCAACTCTGAGTTCAGCAATGTCGCTTTAAGTTGTTGGAAATCCTCGAGATGATAGTATTATTAAAACAAACTCCTCTCTCGCTCATCGCAGGTAGAGATGTACACTGCTTCCCTCGCGCGTCGGAACACCTCCGGTACGATAATTACACGTGACTCCCCGTACATATCGCTAGGTATATCGCTTCGTGGAAACGCTCGACGGATGCAGCGAATATTAAATGCGTTAAAGGGTTTAATTGCGAGGAAATTGCGATGTTCTCGGGAACTTCAGCGCTTTGGAATCGATTTTTGGCGAGATTTCGCAATCGTAAGACGAGGAATTATTAATCAGCCGTTTATCGTCTGTTATGTACATTGTGCATTTTCTGGGGAATATCATTATCCAACCGTAGCTACGAGAAACGCGAAAGGGAAAACAAATGCAGCAGATATATATAGCATATATTGATCAGATGTAAGGATTGTAATGCGATTGTTGCTACGTCGATAGAAGCAAGTGTAAAGTTGTTTTAAACTTTTCCAAGTCTGACAGGACGTGCAAAATATTTTATCGAGGCAATAAATTCGATTCAATCTGCATACGAAATATTATGGATTATCGAGGAGATTGCTTGGTGACTGACCATGTAGTACAAATAATGCTTATATTCATTTCCTAAACGTCATCGTAACCAAGGAGTAAATTAAGTTAGGCTTTACTTCTTTAAAAGTACATGATGTTACTTTTTATTTTTAACAGTAGTAATATTCGCGGGATATTTAAATTGTAATTCTTAGCTATAAAAATTATTGCAATAAACCAATTTTTTAGGGCTTTTTTTTAAAAAAATGTCTATTCAGCGCCATCTTATGGTGCCCGCGGATAATCACATGAAAGGCGAACGACGAACGCGAACGGCGAATGTGTGTAGTGTGTACGTGTATGTCGCCGCAGCGTTGTGTGTCGTCGGACCCGGACGGCGGACGTCGTCAGCGGTCAGTAGCAACGGTTTAGTTCGTCCATCAGAGCAAATCAGGTTATAAGGTTAGAATTCAAGCAAGTAGTAGCGCAGTTTTTAATAATAAAAAAAGCAATAATCTTGTTTGGCAATCTGTAAAACATCCGGACCGAACGAAGTCAATATAAACAAGAGTGAACAGCAAAATGGCAAAGAAAACTTATGACTTGCTGTTCAAGTTACTGCTCATCGGCGACAGTGGTGTTGGCAAAACATGTATTCTCTTCCGTTTCTCCGATGACGCCTTCTCGACTACTTTCATCTCCACCATAGGTGAGCCCGAGCTGCACAGCTCGATTTATTTTTAAACGCTCCAAAGGCATTACTCATCCGTATATACTAGTGTATTCTCGCCGGTACTCTTTCTATCTCTTTCTTTAGGCGAACGCAGCTCCTGCGCAAATGCAAAGATCAACAGACATAGACGTGCGTCTGTGATTGATTGCATTTTTTACTCTTTTGATACGAGGATATTATACTTCGGCCTCCAAGTTTATGACCAAATCTTGCGCGAGGACTCTTCTTTTTTTTGGAGCTGCGTGTATCTGATTCGCATTCGTTGTTGCTTCATACTTCAATTGGTGTCACTGCTCCACCGTTCCGTTTTCTTCCGCGATATTTACGCTTCTCTGGTTAACTTACCTTTTCCTGTGTTGAGTTCTTTGAGTAGAAGGATACGTTTTTTATAACAAAAGTGATTTTATTGCTTGAGAATGATTGCACAAGTTTTTTTTTTCATTAGCTGGTTGTTAGTAATATAACGTTAAGATTGGATAGCCGAAATAATTAATGTTTATTTGTGATTTCAGGTATAGATTTCAAAATAAAGACTGTGGAACTCAGGGGAAAGAAAATTAAGCTTCAAATATGGTGTGACAATGCAATACCAAATTAATTTGTATACTCTTATAGCAAAATTTATACTTACAAATTTGTTATTTATTTTGCTCTAGGGACACAGCTGGACAAGAAAGATTCCACACTATCACCACATCATATTACAGGGGTGCAATGGGAATAATGTTAGTTTATGATATTACAAATGAAAAGACATTTGAAAATATAGTGAACTGGTTGAGGAATATAGATGAGGTTTGTGAAACTTATTGTCTTCGTAGATTTGTCAACCAACTTTGATGAGAAAAAAATGACAATTTATGTTTCTTTATTTATAGCATGCGAATGAAAATGTAGAAAAAATGATTTTGGGAAACAAAAGTGACATGGAAGATAGGCGTGAAGTTAGTACTGAGCGAGGTGAAGCAGTAAGTACAATATAACTTTTCTACTTTTTCAAAAAGAGATTTTGTCAAGTTTAATATATCTAATACACTTTATTATCACTCTTACTTTCAATTTTGGTAAATATTGTTTCTGTAAGTATATGTATTTTGCTGCATATATTTGCTGAGTTTTCAAATATTTTTAATGCAAATAAATTTTACATAGCATTGTGAGAGTATTGCATCAAATTGATCTAAAAGAGTCAAGATATTTAAGTTTAATCTACACAATTATTTCGAGAACATTGAAACAATTCACGCCATGCCCGATAAAACTATTAAAAAGCAATAAAAAAAACTTCGATTCATTACTTGAATAAAAAGAGCGAACAAAGCACTTACTAATCACCGACCAATCCCCTGTTTACCACTTAACTGATAGCATTTTTTAATCATTTTTTTCTTTTATTCAACAGATAGCTCGCGAGCATGGGATCCGTTTCATGGAGACCTCAGCGAAGGCGAATATCAATATTGATCGAGCGTTCCGTGAATTAGCCGAGGCAATACTTGACAAGACTCAAGGCAAGGAACCTCATGAACAACCTGATCGCGTGCAAGTTGATCGAAGATTTGAAAGGGCAGCTAATCGTTGCTGTTGAATCGGCAAACGATTGAGTCCGTAGCTTTGTAAGGATACTTCCAGCATTATTGCTTTCATTTTTCTCGCGGTGGACACAACGAAAGTTTTACTTCTGTGTTTCTTTCTTTTTTATAAAGCTACTGGATTCAATAACTGTTTTTACATTAATTTAACTAGATTAATTGAATGGTTTTTTGCTCATAGTGCATTGTAATTATATAAAAATATCTCTTTTACATGTGATTAACTCTTAGGCTTAAAATATCGATCTGAATTTTACTCGTGCTGAACGTGTTGGAATATAAAAAAGATCATTTCTAAACGTGTTTGAAAAGAAAAAAAGGATACTAATAACTTTGCAATGTTTTTTATATTTGTAAACTACGATGTTTCCTTAACAGGATAAACCATAAAAAAATGAAACAAAGTATATCATTAGACAAAATTTGACTTAAAATTACGTACATATTATTTAAGTTTTAGCTTTAGTAAATGCGTTATTGCACGATTGCTTACTGTACATTGTCATAACTGACCACTTGAACCAAACTGGGAAAGTTTATTTGGCGCATGAAAATTCCTAAGCTAAAGATTGCTGCATCGAAGACTTTCCGAAATACTATATTAAAGAACTGAAAATGTGATTTTTAGATATCTGTATCACTTTTCCCATACGTAGTATTATACGTCAAGTGGTTGACTAGCAATTTTTAGTCGTATTTACTACCTCTTAAGAATTTGTTTTTACAACAAAGATAAATACTTTAAATCATCTTCGAATCAACTAAATTGTTACTTATTTTCGATTTAAATCACGTGTACATATTCATTGTATAACGCGAAACAATTGCTAAACGTATAAAGTTATTTACAAGAAAATATTTTTTTAAAAACACTTCAAGAGAACATTTTTTGCAAAATAATTGTTAAGTGCCACCGAAAGAAACATATTAATACACTTTTTAAAAACTTTGGATAACGTAATCTCAACAAAAAAAGTTATTAGTAATTCGTGAATTAGTAATTCGTTTAGTAATTTGTGAATTAATTATCTCTATTATCTCTATTAGTAATTCGTGAATTAAAAAAAAGAGTGAGAATTCAATGTATGTTGTACGTTTTCTACGCGTATTACGAAAAGTATGGATTAAAGAAAGTATCAGATGGTGCATATGAAGTAACCAAGCAATTAGTGAATCTTGTTTTGTTCAACAAAGGCATTTTATTGTTGAAAATTAAATCTTCATCTACACACCAACTGTTTTGTCGAGCTGCTTTGCTTGTAAAATGCATCAAAGCATGTTTTTATTTATTTATTTATTATTAAAAATCTGTCTTTTATACATATTTTTACACGATGCAATATGCGACGCAAGGCAATAGAAAAGCGTCAATTTGTATTGATAAAAAGGTGAAGAAATAGCATTTTCAAATCATTTGTATTTTATAATATTGACTTGTTGCAATTTTTTTGTGTAACCGATGAGGTGCAATCTGCCGCTCGAAAAGCGGGCCGATTGACGAATATTTAAAAAAAATGGTTTAATCCTCGTCGCGCCTGTTTTTCAACGTGCATAATAAAGTAAAATTCCAAAAACTATGACTTTGTTATTGAATTTCTTGTTCTTTGATGAAACCTTTCGTTTCTTAAAAATATTGATTATAACTTTTTGTTCTCATTAATTTTTTATAAATACGGGTATATATTTTTAATTGAAGATAGGCCCTAGTTCACTTATAAATGTGTGTGTGTGTGTGCGCGCGCACGCGCGTGTGTATGCGTGTAAAACTTAATATTAAAAATGGCTAAAACATATTGAAATGTCTTTATTTCAATAATAAACTAAGAACAGTATAGTGTAAAAAAAATCACTCATTTCGAGAATTAATTTTTTAATAAAATAATGAAGTTGTGGTAAACATGAAGAAAAATATTCATCGTACACTTACGCGAAAAATTTGATAGTCATAACCAACTTAGAAACGTGTCTAAAGTAGTTGAGTACATAATATACAATAAGTATTAATTAATACATTTATTATGTGAATGAATACTACTCATGTTTGATATAACATGTGATATAAAAATACGTTATAAGGTCTATTATTAATCAATGGTGATTATAAACATTTCATGCCTCTGCATGTATATAAACAAATAATGAACGATAATAATAGTAGTAAACATATACATGATTAGGAACGTTGAAAATTATTTGATTATGAAGAGCGATATTTTAAACGTTTGGAGGAGCCAATAGTATATTATATATTTTTTAATAGTTGTAATTAAATATTCTTACGAAAAAACAGTATTCGCAAATCTAATTTTTCTTCGTATTGAATTAAAAAAAGGATATTTATTTGTGATATATTTCCTAGAGTAAATTGAAGCACTACAATTTAAATGGACTTGTTCGGGTACAAAATATCGAATTTAAATAATTCATTATTGTTTTTAATTAATAATTGTATTATTTTAATGCGACTTATGATTAGCAATTCACTTTCGGTATCTATGAGAACCATACTTCAAACAAAATAATAAATAATGCGGCACACTTGCAACGTTCAACAAAAAATTTTTTTAATGTTTACACTCTTTCTCATCATTGCTTACAAATACAAATCTTAAATTAAACTTTGTTTTGCTGCTTGCATTATCGTTTCTTTTCCTAAATAAACAAAAAAAACGATACTGTATCAACTCCAGATACTTGATGTACATACGTATTGTTAAAACTTGTAGGACGTTTTCATTACTCATTTCTGTTATGTAACCCTGGTTAAAATCCGTTATCGATTAACACAAACAAAAAATTAATAACTTAATGTTGTCAAGTAAAATAAGAAAAAAATCAAGCAAACATTAAAAAGCAATAAATAAAAAGAAATAAAGATCACTCACGAGGGTAAATTTTTGGATTTTAACCAGGGTTATATTATCATATATATAAAAAAAACTCACTAAATGAATTGCTCCATCTGACAATTTGACTTATCATGTCACATATCTTACAATCTAATCTCGATTCGACGCGCTGATGATGCTTAAAATGTACAAAAAGATGTTGACGATGTCCAGGTACAAATTCAGTGAGGCGAAAATGTATTCCTCAGGTGACAATGCATATTTGTGCTTGCCACCAATCATCAGTTGCGTATCGTAAACCAGATAGAATGAGAAGAGAAGAGCTCCGAATGAACTGTAGACCAGAGTTACGATTTTACCATGCCAGAATATTGCGACGAAACCGAAAATCATGAGAACGATCGCTGCTACGAATAGGTAAGTTCCCATGCCGGTGAAATCTATTTTCGTTTGGAATGCAAATAGAGTCAGCGCAAAACAGATAACTACGGTTATACCCACAGCAAGCATCACCTGCAACAAGAATTTGCGTGTTACAAAATATTTTCTCTCTCTAAGAATGATTTTCATTTGCGTTCGAAATGCTTACATATTTTTCATCGTGTACACTTGAAACGAAACCTAACAGTGTAGCCTCGGCGAGGGTAAATATAAAGAGGAAAACGAAGTTCATTGGTGCCTGACGCCTGACGCTGGTACAGCAAGCCATTGCAATGATCAGCACAAATGTTACGATCAAAGCAACGTACATGAGCCCAATATGATTGCGAGCGAATAGTTTGGCGGGATCATGTAGCGAGAATAAGGTGACGAAGCCAAAGGTGATGAGAAGTTGGACCATCAGGATACTGTAGACTTTCCTAAAAGATAATAGACGTTTAGTGATTTACTTCTGCTTCAGAAATAAGTAAATTAGACAGAAAAAAAATTACTTGATGAAGGCCTGCCGAATGGTGGTGTCATTAAATTGGAACCCCTTGGCCTCATCGTTCATGGGGTCCTCCGAGTAACTTGCGCCGTACATGCCTTGCTGAGGTGGTACGTGTCCGTATGGTGGAGCAGCTGGTGGTATAAAACCGGGTCCTATAATTTCAAGTCAATCTGAATTAGCATTTTTTTACCGACAATTTATTAAAGAATCAAATAAAAACGACATTTAATAAACGCTAGTACGTGAATGTTATAAAATTTCAGCGCTTATCAATTTACGCAATAAAACCAAAAATGAAAAACGATAAAATGTACCTCCTTGATTACCGTAAGGTGGTGGATTGAAGCCGGCCGGTGGTGGGCCTCCTGGGTAGCCTGCGCCTGGATAACCTGAATCGCCTTGTGGGTAACCTGGGTATCCTGAAAAGTCACGCGTCGATTGTTTTTTCTTCATTCCCATTGCATTCACATATTTATAGCAATGTCGTTTGAAAAATTGACGATGTCACATATGCTTAATATACTTATTATTACAATGTATAACTAGACAGAAGTTTCAAAAGAGAAGCTCGCGCGAAATGTTTTATAGGTATGATTGTAGCACCTTGTTGATTGGGATATGGATAACCGCCACCGGGATTCTGCCAGGTTGTCATCTTTGCCTAGACAAAGCTGCAAACAATCAATGTTTTTTTTCACGTTAGCTTACTTGAGTCTCACAAAACACTGCACTTTCGTTTCTATGTATATATCAGCGGCTTATGATTATTTTCTTTTCTTTTGCTCTCGAGGTGAGTGGCAAATGATGATAATAATGATTAATACGCAGAACATAAGACGAACATGGATATTTACAAACAAAACAGGCGTTTTGCATAGGTATTCTGTAGTTTTTTCTTAAAAGTGAGCTAAGAAGCCAAACTTAAGATGTTGATATAATGACTAACCGTTGTTGTTATGTAAAATATTATCGCATAATAATATACATCATTCGAAAATTGAGTTTCGGAACAATCCTTTTTCCAAAGAAATGTCAGTTTATTTTCAAAACTCATGAGAATGTTTAGAAAAGACATAGTAAATCTTGAATATTAAACAAAAAGTACTGTATTTAACTGTCATGAAAATGACAGATGATTGTATAAGGTGCAAAGCTCTTTCAACCAAAATAACGTGGGAGAAAAAGTCCAAAGTTGAAACATGCTCTGCCCTTTTTAACATTGCATTAGTAAAACAATGAAGAGAGTGACTCATATATAAATTAGCTAGTATATATGCAGTGCAGTGTAACTGAGCGCTCGAGTGCTACTACACAATCAGTCGCTTATATTATAAACCGCAGTCATCAATGACAGTGCGCCCAGCAAGTCAATGCATCTGTGTCTGTGTGCTTCATGCCTACAAAATACCTACACACTTATCTTTTTTACGTACGACATAAGTCTGCTTCTTTCATCATTACTAAATATAGAATTCGAGTGCGCTTATCTTTATAGATATTATGGAATAAGTAACATTTGTGATTGTGTATATATATATATATCAAAAAACTTATTGAATTGATCAAAGCTGTGATGAATCATGCGGCAATCGTTCGTTAATCGAATTAGCTGCTTAATTGATGAAGTAGCAGCTAGTTTGTCGCACGTTTCAATATTATTCAATTACAAGTAAATTAATACATACTGATGAATGTAATTAAACCTAATGAAAACTCGTCATTTTTTTGTGCACGCACAGTTCGCTCTAATAATAACCTTGAAACGACTTTCTTTTTCGACGAGCAAACTGCGCTTGCATTTTTCGCAGCAAATGTACAATACATTAGAAAGCGTGAGAAAACAAGTTCGATAGATGAAAGAAAAATGAGCGTGATGAAATTGCGATGTACGATAAGGCGGGGCGAGAGCCGTTAAATAATCGACTGTTAACAATATAACGGTGCAACGTTCGATAGGTGTGTGCACGTATGTGACAGTGTCTAGCTGACAAGCACTGGCAACTGATTCAAAGCGTTTCTTATCTTTTTACGATCACGTCGTCTAAAAGCTTCGGATATAGATTTTCAAAAAGAGACTCACGTGAATAAACGAGGATATAAGAATATTGCGTTTGCGAAAATACTTTTTTTAATTTAATTATTCGTTGTACAATGTAGTTGAACGTTGACTTTACGTTCGTGATGCAAAGAAATCGATCATGTTTATCTCTCTAAAATTTATTTTCATTTTTAATTCTTTCATAAACTTTTTGCATTTATGACGGTACTTTACGATGATGAAATTGTATTATCAAATAACTACGTCACATGTTGTCGCCTAAACCTCACTTTTCAAAATTGATATTGCATGATTACGTCTATGTAAACCCCAATGTGTAAGAATCAAGTTACGGCAGGCAGTCTATGTCATTCGTGACTCCATTTCATCGTCATGATACAATTTTTATGCGGTTTTATATAGGCCACTTGCGATTTTTCTTTTAAATGTGCACTGTTAAGTGGTTCTTCATTTAATATTCGAATATTGCAAAAATGTTAAGATAGATAGAGTTACACGATGACTAATTTTATAGGATTTTAGTGCAACGAACTCACGCGTGAGCAGCCGGATATACACGTAGTGCTTCTTAGACATTTTGTTTACACACGGTACTCTCTCAATCGTTATAAGACAATCAATTGGTCTAATTTCCTACGGTGAGCGATCGCTCGTTTATGATAGAAGTGAAAAATCGATAAGTTCTCTCAAGGTTGTGCAAAAAAATATGTACGTTCTATTTTCGTTGCATTTTCATGTCTCGCAGAAGCGGGAAGAGAGTGCGCAAAGAAAAAGATGTACTTAACATGGAGGACTTGCGTGAGCTGATGAAATACTCGATACACGTAAACATTGTAACGAAGAAATGTATGCTGCCTACATTGTTCGTGAAAAAGTCAGAAACGATGATGCGTCATTAAGTACTTTCTGGAAGTGTAACGACAATCGATATATATATATATATATATATATATATATATATATGTATATATATAACTACATGTCAGACGTATACACACACCTACGTACGCGTGCTACACCTTTGGGGTATTCTCTAGTCTTATTTATAATTTTCATACCTGCTGTCAGCGAAGACTATAAAATTTCACTACAAACACGTTCTTATTAAATAGTGCAAGAACACTATATAACACTGATTTACAAAAAAATTATACTGACGGCACACTTCGAGATACGATCGGCGGTCCTCAAGGATTCACGATTGATGTGAAACTAAACGCAAGTCCGTCACTGGCGGTGAGTTTCGTTGCGCCGCCGCAAAACCAACTGAAATTAGCTGCGCTAACGTAAGATTTGGAATGCGTGGCGCTCCAATTGAAATATGAGAGCGGATCGAGGAAGAGTAGTAGAGAATGAGGGTAGTCAGTTTTTAAACTACAACATACATTTTATTCAAGTGTACAGAGTATATGTGATTCTCGCGGGCTACTAAAGACGTATTTCAACGAGTGTATAAACGGAACGCAAATGCTCAGAGGCTTAAGGAAAACTGAGCCGTGGCCGGCAGCGTCCAGATACTTCCACCTACTATATTATACCATCATATTATACATCATATTACATTATATTTTATCATCTATTATATTAAACCTTAATGAATTATTTGTGGCTCGCTTTGCTGCGGAGATGTGCGCGCTCACCGTAGTATTTGAAGTCAAACTATTCGTTGTTTTGTTGAAATTATTGTGATTGTAAAGTGATTGAAATTTAATGAATACATAAATTTATATATGGATATAAAATTTATTAGGTTTACATCTATTATGACAAATAAGAAGAAAAAACTTCTGTGTTTGAGTCCAGTTACAACATTTCTTCATATTAGAATTATTTCAGAAGTAGAGGACACTAATATACACTTTGTTACTACAATATGAAGAAAAAAAGTTTTTTAGACACTGCTCTTACTGTTAATCTTCTTTCACAAAATTAGACATTTACTATATAAAATTATTGATGTTTAAATCCAGCATCAATAGTCCAAAAAAGTACTTTCTCACTTGTTTCTTGATGGTTTATCATCTTTGCCTCGGCTACTGCTTACACTAGAACTTCTTGACGACTTTGAAGCTGAAATTTTCGAAGATTGAGGCGACGATTCGTCCTTTAAAGACATTTAAAAAGAGAGAGAGAAACAGAAAAAATTAAAAGCCAAAATAAAAAATAGCACTACAAAATAAAAAAGTGAAAATCAATTCTACTTTTATATTATACCTCAGACGTTTGTTTGGGGACCAGTCCCAAACTGTCTAACATCCCAGGTCTACTTTCTTCAGGCCGAAATGCATTGCGTTTTTTGCATCTCACTAAATGCACCGCTAAAAAAGAAAACATGTAAAATTAATTCTCACATTGAGTCGTATAATATTTTTATAAAGTATTTATTATTTACAAAGTAGATTTCCATCACTTGACTTGTAACCGCAAGCACACTGCATTTCATATTCAAGAGGAATGTTGATAAGTGGTGAAGGCACAACGACGCTCGTCATCGGCCTTTCATTGTGTATCTGTCGCTGATGCTCTTTAAACGCGCGCCAGCAACAAGTGACGTAACGACATTTTTGACATTTTTGCTCGCCACTAAACAAAATGAAAGATATTTATCAACTAATTATTAATTATTACTTTCCCATTTATGTTCAATAAAAACTTGAATATACTGACGGGTAATGCTCTCGCATATCAACGTCTTCTTCGCACTCATAGCAACTTTTGCCGGAAGGTACGTTAACATGAACTGGTCCATAAATCCACTTCTTGATACGCTCGGTAGGAGTAATTTCGTGTGCATAATCATCGAAGTGGTAACGTTTAACGGCGTTACGTGAGCGTGCCACGGTAATAGTATTTTCCTTGTCAGTGTACGGCGTCACTCCTACACATTTTCATTATCGTCAACAAAATTAATGTTGCCATTACATGTTGAGTTTGAAAAATGAAAGCTTACGTGAACCAGTTGCCATGCAATGAAGATCAACGTGTGTTTTGAGCGCACTCATCTGGTTGAACCACAAGCAGCAACGCGGGCACTTATTGAGCTTCTCCTCGCGACGCACAATATGACGTTGCATGTGCATCAGATAGTTATATACATTTGGCGTGCATGGTTGACCATCCTCGTTAACGAAACTGGTCACTTTTAAGCAGTAAGGACACTGCAATCCATCACATTTTTCGTGTAGGGTATAATAGTGATCAATTACGTCTTTGTGACTGGAGCTACGGTAACCGCAGCTATGACATTTGTATGGCATCTCAGATGGATAGTGCATCGACGACAGGTGATTTATTAACAGTCCAGATGTCCCTAAGGAGAAATTATGGAAATTGAATAATTTCAATGAAAGTATTCCATTTATAGTTTCAAAATAAAAAAATACCGAATTTCTGTTCACAAATGGCGCACACAACCATATCGTTGTCTGAGTTGCCGAAGTTGCTGTGAGCTTCGGTAACGTGCACGTCCATTTGGTATTTAGACGAGAAGGCAGTGCAACAGTAACGACAAACTGGTGGATCCGACTGTCCGGGTACCCGTGGTGGCACGTGGCTTACCATGTGTTCCATAATTTCTGTGTTGGAATGCATTGACGCTGTGCATAAGAAACACTAAAACGAATAATGAAAAGAAAAACATTTACGCTTATTCATCTTTATCATAATTTGAAAGATAGGCAATTTACCTTAAAAGTGAACGTAACGTTGTTGTCCTTGTTGACGGGATTTTCGGGTGCCATAGTTCCGTAATAAAATTCTTGTAGTGGTACTTGCTCAGGCCTTATGTCTCTCGCAATCTTCGGTTCTGGCGTAGAATTCCTCTCGATAGTTTCAGGACTAATGGTCGCCGAATAGGGCCTTTTGCGACTTACTATTCTTTTTTGACCAGCTACTCGAATTTCTTGTACCTCATTGGCTGTATCTTTGGGTATCGAGACCATTGGCGCGACCGTAGCATTGTTGACTGAAGACGAGCCAGTGTTTTTGTTCCAATATGACCAATCTTGGAAGGGATTTGCGGCGATTTTGTTCAGACGTTCTAATAACGTCGAGTCTGAGGAGAACACGTTACAAATTAATGGAAATAAATTATTTATAATCTTTTGAAAAATTTTTGCATACCTGACTCCAGCTTGGTCTGCTCCGAAATATGCGTAATAATATTCTCAAAAGCTCTGAGAGCAGTGGTTCCATACATCTCTCTCCAAACGAGTTCATCCAAGAATTGCTGAATCATTGATCTGCTAAGAAGACTCAGCGTATTCTGGAACATCCTGGGCACGATTTTTCTTAGATATTCCATTACGTGAAAATTGCTGGAAACATTTCTAGGATTTTGCTCGCTAAAAGCTGACTGCAAGACGTTATTAAAACCCATCTCAGAGAGTGTGTTCTTGTCAACAGTAAAGTCCGTCAAAATCTTGGAATCTTTGTCCACCCATTCTGACAATGGGTGGAGAATGTTGGTAAAACGACGTTTGTATGATCTGTCTCCGTCTTGTATTGGTTCGCATGCACGTAGCCTGAGCTCCAGAGTTTCTGGGTCAAGGATACCTAATACTTCTACTTTTACCTTTATAAAATATGTAATAGAGTTAACCGTCAACTTATATAACAAACTCGTATGTATTTATAGTAAAATTACCTGACGTAAATTGCCATCTTGTGAAGTAGTGCCTAAACTAATAACTCCGACTTGTATCATAGAATGTCTACCACCCATTTTCTTACACTTTTGCCAGATTGCCGCGGTGCAAACACTTCTTAGCAGTGAATAAAATGTTTTAACGTAATAATTTGTGACCTTCACCCACGAGATAACGTTTTGTACGTTGGTCTGACAAGCCCAATGGTAAACGAGTTTAAGTAGAACAGTCGGCGAATGTGGAGCACCTTGAAATACGGAGCCCGAAAACACAGAGACAAAGCGATCGGGACAACACGACGAGATCCATACGTAGCCACCTGAACATGGAAATGTACCAGAGTCGCTAAACATACCCAACTTCAACTTCAGATTGTTATGCTTGTCACAGAATTGTTCTGCACGGACTAAACCTTGTTGGATTAGCCATTCGGTAAACTTTGTTGCTGAGTACATCAGTACACCTTTCACTTTTATATCTGTAATGGAAAATGAAGATTTTTTATTCTTATATATTTGATTTTATTAGAACGGCAATAAAATGTTTACCCACCTAAATCCGCTCTTTCTTTTTGGGCAACTTGTGAGGTAATATTTTTGGTCTTGAGATTTGGTCTTGCTACAACAACTAACGACGGGTAAGTCCGTCCTCCGTTCATCTTGTTAAAGGTCACTTCCCTTCCGTCAGGAAGATTTTTCTTCGACTCATCAATAACTTCGCCCGCTAACCGATTAAAAATGCAAATTATTATTATCGTTACTAATGGAGATGGAGAAAGTTTAAGTTTACTTACCTGCTACTTTGTTACCAATTGCAATACCTCCTATAGCTGATTGCTCAGAAGGTCGAGATACTAAATGACTTCCTGACTGTTGTTTTGGTAATGTTTTTATTCTAAGATTTGTCACGCCCTGAGCATTAGTCGACGCTATAGATGATCAATTAGATTAATTTATTTCACTTGTTGAAGTAGTTGAATAACATTATAGTAATAATTTTATTAAACGTACTTGGCGTAACCACGTGTGTTGTTGCTGAAGGTTTGCTTATCCTTTTTATTTGTGTAAGAGTAGGAGGAGGTGAGACAGGCTGCAGAAAGAAAGTTTGTATTACTTATTACATAAATTTGATCAAAAAGAAGGAAAAACAGATACCTACTTCTTCAATGATATCAGCTTGTTGTACTGTCAAAACTTTCGTAACTTTTCGGACAGGTCTACCGGCTTTACTAACATACTGAAAATATAATAAAAATAACAGTAATTTATCAACAAATAAAATGACAATGTAGAAATCTTAGTATTTTCAATAAAAACATTTTATACTTAAAATATAGATTTATATTTACAGTATTTTCTACTTGTGGTTGCTGAGATACAGGTGTGATTGGAGCCACTACAGGTGATGCAGTTGTCATCGTACTCATAACTGTAGATGTTGAATTCGATGTGTTTGCCATGAGAGACATTGGTGAAGCAGCAACTCCAGCTGATGAAATAAAATATTATTTCTAGTAAATTTTATATTTTTAAATATAGCAATGGCTTAGATTTGCTGTTATTAAACAAACTCACCCTGTTGCGGTGAAACAGTTTGAAGAATTACCATCCTTGGATCCATAACAAGCTGAAGTCCTTGAGAATTGTTAGTATTGTTCAACATGATTTGTTTTATTTGATTATTTGTATTTGCAGTTTGATTCTGAAATGATGAAATAATCAATTATATAAATGTTATTATAAAATACAAAGCTCTATAAAAGCTTATCACTTACAACTCCAATAACTTGTGTTTGGGCATTTGGTTTAACGACAGCTGCACTTGCTGGAGCAGCAGTAGGTCTATAAAGAAATTGTAATGAAAGATAGATCAAATACTAATAGGATAGCACTATTGGCATACATTATTGTTTATGGTACTCACAACTGATATTGATAGCCTTTGACAACACCAGCTTGACATATTAATGTCCCTCCTTGATCTTTTACGAGTGACTCCAACATTTTATTGACCTTAAAGATTTGATATAATATCGAATAGTAAAAATACTTTAAAATATGATTTCAAATCTTATAATCTCACCTTATCATACTCAGATTTATATTTCGTTCTTGCTGCCTTTTGATAATAGCTTAAAGGCTCATCTGTACACTCCATTTTTAGTGTCATTCCTAGAGGCCTCATCTTTTCAATTGGTCGAGTGACTAGTTTACCCTTTGTCATCACAACTCAACAGAGTAGTTGTCAAGAATATTTTGAAAGTTTTCCTGCGTTAAATAAATGATAGACATTCAACTATTCAGTTGCACAATGCTTGGAAGTTGATGTAATCACACTGGCTTGCATCAGACATGATGTTTACGCTGTTTCTTTTTAAACCAGCTTTAATATGGAATTCTTATTCCATAGAATGCTAACAAACTCATCGTTAGCCACAACATTATTTGTTTACATGAGCTATAGTTGAAACGTTAACAAAATAAATTCAAACACCGAACGTTTAGGTTACCAAATTCAAAATACCAAAGTGATCGTGGTGGTTCGCCAAAACGACAAAAAACAACAGACAGTTGCAAACGGATATTAATTGTTGGTATGCAAGGGTGACACGTGAAACTTACCTACAAATCCTTAGCCAGGATTTTAGGATTCGCAGGAAAATTCGAAGAACCGGCAAGTCGTCGAAGGACGAGCCCGAGGTCTTTGAGAACTTTATCGAAGGACGATGCAACGCGCGCGACGGTGCGGCGACGATGGTAAAACTAACCGCAATTCGGCTTTTTGTTGCGATGACGACTGCGCCACCAGCGGAAAGCGTCTGCAGTCTATGGATTCTTGATCGGTAAGCTTTTTATCATCAATCCCTACTTTGTTGGCTTTTAGTAGTTAAAGGCGAGATTGGTCAGACCAAATAATTGTACGTGGTTATTATTATTTGAAAGCGGTTACTATGTCATAAAATCGAAACGAATTATTTAAGCGACAGGTACGATGTCAAAATAAATAAAGAAAACAATTAATTTTACCGATTTTTTCGCATAATCGTCCAGTAACTAAGTTTTAGAAAAGGTATTAAAAAAATTTGATTTGTATGTTCGAGATTTTAATATTATTAAATTCTTAAACAATTGATTTTTATGGTCTACTTTTTGATAACATTTTTGGCATTATTTGAAGAATATTCAATGAACATTTTCTTTACCTTTTTCAAAGAAGTCACGAAAATTTCGTAAATTAAAAAAATTAATGTCCAAAAAATTTGAAAACATTATCAACTTTGAACAATTATTCATTGAAACTTATGTTTAATATCATATCGCATCATTAAAATTTTTTACACACATCTAGCATAAGAAAGGCCTTATGGCTCTTGGGGTCGACGTTAACTATAGATACTATATCTCTATATCTGATTTTATAGCGTTTTGAGCAAAATATGAACGCTGTTTGGAGCCCTTCGCTAATAAACATAAACAAACGTTACGGGTGAAGGATCGAATCATCAGATGCGTTACTGCAAAAGCGCGACATCGTAAAGTCTGCATGCACGATACAATCTTTTTTAGCAGCGACCGCAGTTTCATTTGCGAACGCGACGAGTACTGAATACGCGTCGGTGCAGCCACGAAAAACTGAGAGGCTCGCTAGATAAGAGCACTCGCGTGCAACCGCAAAGCAGCGGAGCTTTTACGACGACGTCGGCGAGGCGCGCGGTTCGAGCGGATATAGTGTTTGTTATCCAGGGGGATTACTGCAATGCGCAATGCCGCTGTGCAAACTGCACCGCCGGCGATTCGCCGTAGCCTCTCGCCGCTAGTCGATACGCGAGCGTCGCGCGTACCCCCGTGTCCCTTTTGCGCGAATCTTGGTTAATCGAGTTGTTCGATTGTCAGCCGAGCGTGGGATTCGCCGAAACTAATTGACTTCCATTGTTCGAGCTGCGACAGCAATGCGTCGTTACACTGAATTCACGGGAGGGCCGATTGATCGGGATTTGCGGCTATGATTATACGCGATCTTGAGGTCGTGCGCCTGGCTCCTTATTGATACAGCACCTCGGTGCGCTGGCTCCGATTCGAATGCGAAATGCTTCCTCTGGGCATTACTGCGGCGCGCACTTATCATCTGCCGCAAGCTACGGCGCAGGATATATATATGTCGCTTACACTTGAGATGCATAAATCTGATTTCGAGATGTTGCTGCTTTCGAGCTGGTGCTCATGTAGTTTCATTCGAGTTTATTGCGTTTTAATTATTTGGCTGATAAGCTCACCGCTGGAAATATTTGTCCAATTCAAGAAACCACATCGTAGTTCGAGAAAAGCATTTCCGATTTTAGTATGCAGCAAATTCAAAGCTGATAAGCCCGTTCAGCTCGAAATAATTTTTTCTTTCGATGTATAGAACGCCAAGCAACGCAATAAGCTACAGATTACAAGTGAAAGGATCGAGAATAAAAAGACAGCAGCACAGCAAAATTGATTATTTTTTTTCCAAAAAACAATGTTTATTATCCAACCGTACGTTCTTCGTTAAATATAAGTCATATAACAAAATGAAACCGTAAACATTGAAAATACAACCGCGGGTATATATATGCCTAGTGTTGTTCCTCTCGAGCTAATATATACCATTCATAGTTTTTTTTTTAATGATATTATAATCATCAATGTTCGTGTCTGCGTTCTCGCTCGGCGTACTCTTAGACTCAGCGAGAGAAGACAGCTCTTCTTGCACGCACACACACACAAACACACACTTTGATTCTGCACTGGCTGTTGTCATTGTTGTCGCCGTGTGTTTATATTCCTAATGTTATTTCTTTATACATGTAAATCACTATTTACAAGAACATTCAGCTTTATTTCGTAGAGCTTCATTCATTAATGCGTGTACGCGTGTGCATGTCTGCGTTTCTGTGTTTGACGTGTCCTCTGCACCTGCGCGGATGTATACTCGAACGTATATATTTTGCATATGACGAATAATATCATCGCGGCGAGTGACGAGTCTCTGCTTTGCGCCTTCGTATATAGATTATTTTCTTGCATTTTGATTCTCACGCCGTCGCTGAACACACATACAAATACAATTGTTTATTTATTTAGATACGCTATACACATACACGTGTTTGTCTGTTCGTATATAGTTTTTATTCTTGTAGATGTGTGTTTGTTTTCTGTGTGTCTTACGTAATTTTTTTTTGTCCACAAACAGAGCCTAGAAACGTTATTACATTCATCGTGCATGCTTGGAAAGATTGCAAATCTAATGATTTTGTCCTCCTTAAGTAACGTTTTACAGTGGAAGCTGGTGTTTTTTCGCGAAAACAAAAACTGATTTGAAATAATGAAAAAAACAAAGAAGAAGATCCATTTATATATGAGTTTATTGCTTGTTTGTTGAAGCATATACGTCTTTTATTTACAATCCACTCGCACTGCCTTCCGAGTCCGCGTGTTCTTTGAACGTAACTGGACAAAAAGAATAATGGCGCAATCGAAGTTCGAGGGAAGAAACAGACGCGACAATGCCGCCGTGTATGATTGTCCGACTTGAGAGAACACACGACACGTCACTTCGATTATCATACAAAAGAATTGTCGAGGAGAGGGATGGAATGTACGCCGATCCTTTCGTTTCATTGCTTGCCGCTTCAGCTGCCCATTTTCGTTTTGTCATTTTCAGTGCCGCTTATTGCTCTTTTATATGTGCCTGCTTTCGCCCCCTCCCCCTCCCTCTTATGTACATTTTAACAGAGAACACGTGAGAGAGCTTGCCCATTTCTCCAGACGTTCGAGTACTCGTCGTTCGCTCTGAGACAAAGGAGACGTCAATTCAGCTGAAAAAAGCAGCTTCATTAGCTTTGTGCCTCGGCTATTTATACGCACGCATGCGCGTGCGGAGAGGGGTTCGCGCACTTCCGGCGTTATCGCTTTGCTTGATACACTGATGCCCGCGCTATCCGCCCGCGCGTGCTTAACGATTTATTGCTTGGCTTCGCGCATCGTCGAGTTTTCAAACGCGTCGCCGCGTTGCTCCGAAGATAGCTAGAATCGCCGAAAATTTGTCAACACACGCGTTTACTTTTCAACAAACGGAACGAGCTTTCAGTCAGTCCCCACGCCGTCACGCGCGTTGGCTAGCTTATTTTTCTCATGTATCGGGCTGTATTCCCTTTGGCTCTCTCTCTCTCTCTCTTTTGCGCGCACGTGACAGCTGATGCCTCGTCCTCTTCCCTTTGACGTGCGCCTTTTGTACCTCTTTTTTCTCTCTACGCTTTTTTTTTGTTTACTCTGGTAGTGAATTTATTCCTTCCGTGCAATTTTTCATTTGCTTGTATATCCTCTTTTAAATATTTTCACGCGCGCACGAAAAGTTCACGCCCACGAGGGAAAAATAGTGGTTCAAACATTTAAGAATATAGAGATACACGCCTTGACTTATAAGTGCGCCCTTGAACGCTCCGTGCATTTTCATTTCTTTAGGTCTCCCCGAGCATAGGAGAGAGTTATTGTTCGCGAACGTCCGCCTCTTGAACACTTCAGATACGTCGAGTTTAACCAATCGTTCGGCATTTTTCAAACGAAATGCGCGCGTTATTTTGATGTGCTCGTTATTTATTGGTTTTACGCGGCTGAAGCGACGATGAGTATTTGAATCATCTTCGAAGTGGAGCTTAATTTGTTTGATCGGCTTTAGCCTGCATAACGTAACCTTGTATCATATATTTGACTTCTTTTTGTAAAAAATTGGTTTTTCTTTTTTTTTTTTTTCGTCAGAACGCAACCGTTGTGTGAGTAATGTAACAAGGTGAACGTAAAAATTGATCTTCCTTTTCTAAGCGTATTTGAAGCTTTTCGTAAGTATTTCTTTTTATTTTGCCGAGAACTACACGTTTCATATATTTATTTTTTTTTAATGAATGTACAAACATCGTAGAAATAGTTAAATTGTGTTTAGATACACCGTGTTTCCTAACGTTCTGTTTTGTATTTTTATTATTATTATTTTTTGTTTAGTTTAAAGATAGTCTACGTTTTTGTTTTTGTTAAGTCTTGATCACGATTAGAGTTTTGTTTTTTATTTTTTTTTCAAACACGATAACATTAGATCTTGTTTTCATCATTACAATTACATTTCACGATTATTTTTTTCTTTTATTTAACACATTTATACAACATATCGTCATGGATACTGCATTTTTTTATTTGTGCGAAAAAAGTGCACCTTGGCCTCCTCGTCACGCGAACGCATATATATATATATATATATATATATATATATATATATATATATATATATATATATATATATATATATATATATATATATGCGAGTGTTGTATTCGATTCGAAGGAACAAGCATGTATATACGTGTGTTGTGTATGTGCGCGTGTGTGTGTGTGTGTAAGAGTTGTGTGTGGCGGTATTTTTTCTGTAGTTTTTTTCTAATCTCTGTCGCGTCTTGTGCACATGCGATGATACTTGGCGTATACGTATTGCTTCAATTATTTTTTCTTTCAAAATTGCTTGCCCTACGTAAAAGCATACAACTTTCCAGTCTCGTGTATAATATATTATACCCTTTACACCGTACTACAACGAAACAGAAATTAAAACAGGACATCACTCACGTCGTCTGACCAAATTCATGTTAGTTTCACTTGTCATTTCGCACACATCCATAAAACATGGTTTCTTTATGTTGACTCTCTTTATTAACAAACAATTAAATTTTTTTATTTTTCGAAATTTCATTTATCGTTCAAACACGTTGGCTGGAACGTTTACACAAAAAAAATTTCGTGTCGCTTTTTTTTTAAAAACGATATACAAAATGAAAAAAAATAATAGCTGAAAGAAAATGAAAAAAAGCGCAGAATCGTCGAATATAATAAATATTAGTGAGTTTCATATCCTTTAGGAGATTCGTAGGTCTTTTCACATTCACACAAATATAAGCACAAACATACATGCACACACAACTGAGAAACGAATTTGTTTGCTTCCTTTTTCTCCAAGTGCATGTATAATTTCTTCCGCACAATATTACTCTTCTTTATTATTTTTAAGCAGTTCGTCCTACATATACCAACGTAAAAAGAAAACGGACAAGCGCATCAACGGAAATAGATAACTAGTATTTACAAATATTATCTTATTACAAAATACAAATCCTACTATGTCACTTTTTGTTTTCTTTCTTTGCTTCGCACACACTCACGCACGAGCACACACATAGTTAAGTGTATATATGTATATACATATTACTTTTTTAGTATAACTCTCGTGAGTGCGGTAAGATCTTAAAGAATGTGTCGTGGTGAAACAACGGAAACAATAGAAATTGAACGACAAAGCAATAACTGTCGTAAATTACATATCGTATTGCACTCATCATAATCATCATCGTTATCTATGAAAAGCGCGTAAGTTATTACTATATAGTTCTTCAACGTATATATTTATATATAATATGTATATTAGTTTTGCTCTGAGAAAACTTAACAAGAACGATTTTTTTCAATAAAATGCACTGCAAACATAAAGAGAAAATAAATGTTTCTTCTTTTAATAATATTTACACATTTATTCAATTAATTATATTTACAAACTTTATTTACACAATTGCGATGAGATTGCTAATTCCGTGTTTTTGGTTAATAATTATCTTTGTTTCTATTAAACAAGCAGCGGCTATAACACGTGAAACAGCGATCGAAGACGAAAAAAAAATAATAAACGCGCTCGCTCAATAAATATCCTCGCGCACGGGCACACACACACACACACACACACACACACACACACACACACACACACATACGCGCACACTCATTTACACGCACACACACCCATGCGCGCGCACCCGCAATTGTAGCAATCTCCATAAATGTGCGTATCGCTTAAATAATCGCGTAATCTGTATTATAACGCAGTCGCACGTTATTTTTTCAAAGTATTGCTTCTTATGACTTTTGGTTTGTGGTTCCCTAAACGGCCCGGAATGGCGCTCGCTCTGTCGGCTTTAATATGAAACACTGACTATACACGATACACTTAGCTAAAAAGAGACTCTTTTGGGAAAGATGTCGTAGAAAAAGATCGCGAGATTTTCATATGTATATAATTATAGAGAGACGACGTTTAATGAGGAAGTATGAGACAGAGAAAAACAGAGAGAGAGAGAGAAAGAGAGAGAGAGATTTGCATCATTAATACTCCGTTATATTTATACTTGGATTGCTGAGCGCGATTCCGGACGGGATCTTGCGCGTTCGTGAGCTACGGGTAAAGAAAACACAAAAAACGAATGATTTGGCTAAAACACGAAAGCACACGCACACTCGCGCTCGCGCATACGTTTGCTTACAAGCTAACTTTGGCAATACACACTGACTCCGCACGAGCGAGACGCGCGAGCGCGCGCGCGAGCCCGATTTTGGTTGATTTGCTTTTTAGAATCGAAAGTTGTTGTTGTTGTTCTTGCCAATCGCCTCATCTCAGAGGCTACTGCCGAAGTCGCTGCTCGCGCGACGGTCGTTGTGCTTGATGTACGTCTCCGAGTAGATGCTCTTCGTGCGGTCGTCGTACCTGGAAGTCAACCTGCGTCAGATGGGAAGGTTTTTTTTGTTTTTCGTTGGCACACGCACGAGGTCTGTTTTGATTTCTTTTGTTCTTTACGTTAGTGCTACGATGAGATGGCAATCGATTTTTCGACGTACGTAAAAACGGAGTCGGAGATGAAGCTGGCGAGAGCGCGAAAAAGAGAGAGAAAATGCGATCGGCACACTTTCCATTATGCGCAGAACGCGCAGCCCGGGACCGAGATTCATCGTAGTAGTCAGCTCGGTGTATGGTCAGACGCGGGATGGAGCGTCGTCTCGGCGTGCGTGGATTTAGATTGCTTTCGAGGGAAACGCGGAATCGCCGCGGTAACCTGTTCCACTCTCCGAAGAAGAGGAGAGTCACTCGTTAACGTCTTTCCGCTGGTCTCCAGAGAAGGCGCACCACTCGGACGCATCAGAGTGCGAGCGCGCGTGCAATTCAGCGGCCAACACGATGGTGCTATCGATCGACGCGCGGAATAAGGAAGCGACCTTATTGTCGTGAGAAACCCCTCGGATGACGTTTTAATGGCCTACCCCGGATTCTCGTTATCGGGGGCTGAGCAAGCTTTTGTAACCGAGATTCCTCATCCAACCGACAGCTTTTTTATTTCTTGTTGTGCTGTAACCGCGAGAGAGCAGGATGTCGCTTGCTTTTCAAACTGATAATGGAACGAGGCTCTTGGTACAGCAATTTCTCTCTTTTTTTGCGGCTTCTCTGGCTTCGATAATAATGATTTTTAATGTCGAGACAAGCGTTTCAGCGATAAAGATGAGAGATGCTTTCTCAGGGACTGGAAAGCTTCCGCGAACTCATTTTCGGTCCAACTTTAAAAATACCTTCTTTCGGAGTTTGAACTTTGCTGATGGAAGCTTTTCATCCCTTCGTTTATAAATTATCTAATGAAAGAACCATGAGATTGCAGCTTGTGATAAAGAGCAATCTTTAAAAATGAAAGCCAACTACACCTTGAATTAGCCTTTTTCCTAAGGACATCAGAGAAAGGAAAGGCATAAGCAGTATAGTTATTATTTACAACGGAAGCGTCAATGAAGCTCATGATTCTCGGTCGCGCGAGTATCCGAAGATGCGCGCGCGAGAGATCGTTGTTAAATGAATGAAAAAAGAAGTTCGCTAATTACCTATTAATGTATGGTTTGTTTGTTTGTACATTGTTTGGTTAAATATTTTTGGCAAGCACAATGGACAAAGCACAGGCGTCGATATGGTAGCGCCGCAGATTCGGTAGCAGTAGCGAGAGAGATATATAGGATGTTGGCTTGGTAATAATTTTTTTGCTTTTTTTGTTCTCGGCTTGAGTAGTCTCTCACCTAAGCGAGGGCCTGCGAAAATCGAGTGCCTCAAGATCCGAGGGCTCTCGACGGCATAGCGAGCAGAAGGCGCACTGTAGAGTATTCTTGAAGGCTTCCCGGAAGTCGCGATTGAAGTAAGCGTAGATCAATGGGTTCAACGCCGAATTGGTATAACCGATCCAGAACAATATCGTCACCATGACGTCTGGACAGGGGCAGTACTCGTCACCACACAAACTCGTTATGATGTACCACAAGAAGAACGGCAGCCAGCACAACATAAACGTGCCCATTATTATCCCCAGCGTTCGTGCAGCCTTGTGCTCGCGCTTCATCTTTTGAATGTTCTTGTCCTTGGTTGGCGTGTGCAGGTGATGCTCCACTGCACCACTCACCTGCGTTTTCAGAAGGCATTTTGTCAATTGCATATCGCTCGCTCGGCGACTTTGCGGCTGTAAAGTTTCCGTTCGTTCGGGGGGAGAAAGAAACAAGAAACAAAGAACATCAAATTAGACTTTTCCAATTTTTCCTAGAATCGATTGATGGCCGATTGTTTGTTAGTAGCGTCTACAGATGACAAGCTTATCTCGTTAGTAGCAGCCGTGAATTTGTTTTGCAGTGCTGGCTTTCCGATCGATCCAATGGAAAATGAAGAACAAAAGGAACCTCAAAATAATACGATTAAATAATGTTCGGGTCGATCGTTCGGTTTGACTGTCACCAAGCAATTTAACAAAGCAATGGATACATGAATGGTCAGTGATAACAAGAAAGACGGGATATTCACCTCGTTGAGCGTGAGAGTTTTGGAGGAGCCACCGCCACTATTGAGCTCGCCATTGATGTTATTGAGATCTCGACTCGGCCTGTGACTCAACAACATGGCATTGCCCATTCGACTGTGCATCTGCTTCTCCTGGCGATTCGCTTCACGGAATATCGCCAGATACGTGAGCGTCATTATCGTGCAGGGTATCCAGAAGGATATACTCGAGGATATAACCGCGTACACCTTATTGACCTGGCAGAAAAGCAGCAACTCGTTTAGTCAATCGAAACGGATCATGGGATCGTGGGAAGGCTAGAGAAAGCGCACCTTGAAGAAACACTCGTCCGTGTACAGTCTCCTATTTCGCATGTTCTCTTCGGTAGTGTACCACTCACTGAAAATCGGCACGAAAGATATAATGGCTGGTGCGAACCAGCAAGCGAACAGCATGTAAAAGGCTACGCGTTTGGTTATGCTGATCGGATAGCTGAGTGGCTTGACGACGGCGTAATAGCGATCCACGCTGATGAACATGAGGTGCAAGATCGAGCTGGTGCTGAAGTACACGTCCAGCGCATTCCATACGTCGCACATCACGTAGCCGAACATCCACTGCCCGGTGATTTGCACACTCGCGTTGAACGTCATGGCGAACATCGCCACCAGCATGTCGGCCAGCGCCAGCGAGACCACGAAGTAATTGGTTATTATGCGGAGCTTGCGGTGGCGTATGACCGATACCATCACAAGGAGGTTGCCGAACACCGCTGCTAGGATTATCGAGCCTAGGAAGCAGCCCAGCGCTATCGCTCTGAAAAAGGAAAGGAGGCGCGGGTTTAGCATAAACGATCGAGGCCGTTTCCTTCATTGCAGGCTCGAACGCCGCTCGACGCTCACTTGGGCACGTCGATGGGTTTGTGATCGGTCAGATTCTTCGGTCCCTCGTCGAAGCTGAGATTGCGGGAATCGTCGTTGACCATCGCGGTGCGTCTGTCTTCGTCTTCCTCGTCCTTTGGATTACGCGTCGTCGTCGATACATAAGGTTTGACGCTGCTACTGCTTGCTGGACCTGCCGAGTGCATGTCTACCTCACGACGCCAGCGCGCCACCTGTCTCGTTATCGAGCTGTACTCGTGATGCTGAAAATTTGAAGAAATTCCTTATGAGTTTGGCGATTCGATAGACGACTTTTCCTGTTTTTTTTTCTTAACGGAATGGTCGTTTATTTTCTTTACTTTAAGAGTTACATCTAAACATGGGTTATCCGAAAAAAGTCGAGTTGTTCAAGGCTTTTTTTTCTAAAAACATATTAAATTCGACAAGGTTTGCTAGAAAATTGATATTTAGATATTTCAATCAATTTTAACGGATTTCAGTTTGGTAAAAAATCTATGAATATTGTCTCTAGCAACCGAAATACAACGATTAATCATTGATCAAGTATTTCAGTAATCCGATTCTCAAATTCAAATTGTGCTTATTTTTCAAACCTTGAACAAGTATATTACTTGAAGAATGAACCGCGTGATTATTGTACGAGCAGACCGATTTCGTCGAATACGTAAAAAATCGAAGCATCGCGGTCGCCAATTTCTTCGTGAAAGCGAAGGATAAAAGCAACAACCTGCTCCAATAAAGACGATATCGGGATCGAAAAGAGCGAAAGTAAATGCGGCTACCTTGTATTGGCGCGTGGCCAGGTAGACTGTTGGATCGTCGGAACTGTCACCTCCGCCGCCATGGTCACGGTGATAGTGGTGACGAGATGCGACGCGATCGTCAGGAGGAACAAGTGGAGTGCCGACGGCGGCGGCGCTTGGGGGTCGCTCATGCGTGTTTGCGAGCGCCGCCTTAGCCGGGCTTGCGAGCGCGATTAGAAGCGCCGCCGCCGCCGCTAAACGAATGACAGCTGCTCCGCTCGAGCAACCACCAGCCGATGCCGCTACTCTCCAGCAGCCGCTGCAACGTCCGCGGCCGCCGCTCTGCTGCTGCTCGTTGCCCTGGCGATCTCCTGACTTCTTGATGATGACGATCTTAGCGCTGGCTGCGGCTGACTGGCGATCGAGCGAACTTGTACTGCGACTCGCGGCCAGCTCAGCTGCGTTTCAATGTCCACCTACGAAACTCTTCGCCCGATTCACGAGTTATCCTCGATGCGGCTGCCAGCTTACAAGATTCTGAAATCCAAATATGATTTCGATCAGACTTCGAGCGTTACTTGCCCTTTTGAAAAATAAAACAGCGACTTAGCGCGTAATGAATAGGGAATGCGATTTGTCTTCGGGTAAAAGACTCGCTGATTAATCCGATCTCATCTGATAGCTCGCAGTAGTCTGCGCTCAATCTAATCCCTTTTTTCTAATCTCTCTTTGAAATATTCATTGAATTAGTTATACAGTTGAGGGGGATTCGATAAAAGCCAATATTATTAACGCGAAGCCGGTGTAATTGTTGATCAAACGCTTTCAAAGTAACTCATGTTGCGTATTAAGGACGTTGGATGTTTAAGCGAAGAGTTATAAGAGAACCGCCTAATTTTTGGATACAATCTAGTTATGGGCACGAAAGGATTGCATGAATTTTTCCAACGTTTTCTTTCGCTGAAATTTTCGAGACAAGCGATCGCGAAGCTCCGTTCTTTATAGAGCGAGTGTCGTCAAAAGGTGATTCATTTGGAGTGCAAATTGAAGAGAAGTTGAGGGATTGTAATAAAAAACATTAATAAATTATGACTGGAGGTCTCGGCGGACGTTTCCAATAATAAAATCGTACGTAATTGATGAAAATATAAACAAAAACCGGAGTTGCGGGCGTGGCATGCACGTGCGGGCGGACCCTCTTTCTGTGCCTCTCTCGCATGACACCGTTGAACATCCTTAAAGCTAAAAGAGCCCCCTTCTTCGAAACTCGAGTAACACTAACAAAGTTTGTCGCAAAGATAGTTCAAGTGCTTATACGTGCTAAACTTTTAATGGCCCACTTAGACAACAAAAATTACCCCTCGCACATTATGTAAACTTTCGTTATTTTTTTCCGTCGGGATGCTATATATATATTTCGCTTTGATTTTCCCGTCAGCTGAAAATGTGTTACTGCTTCCTATAACCTCCGAAGTTATTATCAACAACATCAAAGCAATTGTTTATTATTTATTTTTAGTCGAAAACACAGAAAATTTTTATGCTCGAAATTTTAGTTTGATGTTTGTTTTCGGCAATTATAAATAGCTGAATGACACAGAAAAAGTTTGCCAGAGCAATTTATCTGAAAGAAGAGATCATCGAATATAATGTATATTTATACTGCCATAAAAATCAAGAATGAGTGATGTATACCTTGTCGTACAGAAGCAAACTTTCCAGTGAATCACCCGGATAGAAAATAACAGCGTCTCAAGACGAATAACTTTATCTTTCTACATCAATAAAGTATTTTTCTTCTCATTTCCAGATTTATGGAAAGGGATGAGAGTAAGAGAATGGTTAAATGATCCAATATTATCTCAATACTAATCAATCCAACAAACGATAGCCTCCTCCCAAAAAACTGCTTATCTTCGTTTTTTCTAATCCCCTATATTTGTTTGCGCAGTCACACGCGTAATCCGGCTACGCAAAAGAAATACCATATCCCAACAGAATCAGCGTCAATCTCGGAAGCGAAATAAGAACTTTGGTTCTCACCCCCTCCCCTCCCCTTCCCATCGCACAATTAATTCGATCCCTAGTTAACAATCAGCGCGTGAAGGCAGGTATAATCTAATCTTAGGATTTATCAATCTTAGGATGATGCCTGTATACAATGCCGGAAGCTATGATAAGTTAAATGGAAGGAGAAGAGAAAAAATGCTCCTTTTTTTTATCGTACCTGCAATTTCCCATATGACTTTTGTGTAGGTGTTTCGTGATCGATGCCAATCGTTTGCCTCGCGCACATATGGGACAAAAATATGGTTTAGTACCCTCGAAGATAAGATGCTTGAGGATTTATTTTTTCTCCTTTTTTTCGGGAGCCGTAGGCCTTTTCTCTTTTTACGACTCTGGGATGGAAATTACTTTTTATACCGCGACCGTTATTCTCTCTCTTTCTCTCTCTTTCGTCGTCGAGCTTATTAGCTTGGCTCCGATCGCCAAGTTCTTTTTACAGCTCTTTTAACGAGCCTAGCCTTTATGAAAATATCCATATTCAGTTGCCAAAAAAAAAATTAATTGTATGATCACCACCAACCAAAGCTCTGACGCAATATAAAAGCTCTCGAAAAAGACACGTACACCGCTCCACAAAAGAAAGAGCTTTGCAAGACAAAAATAAAAATAATATCTCATGGTAGCATCTTAGCGTCCGGTCGGTCACAAAATTAACGATTGCAATCGCGTGCCCCGAAATATGAATCACCTCTATATACTGTCCGACTTTAACACTTTTTAGAGATTTACAAAAAATAAAAAAAAAAAACGGAAACTTTTTTCTGGCATCGACGCACGTAATGTCTTGGAGACGACGCGGTAAATATGTGTATACCAGTCATATTTATCGCGATAAGTCGACACTTGGAAATACAGGGGCCGATACCAAAGTGAGCCCTCGCGAGCATTAATTTAAAGGGAAAATGTACTTCCTCCACGTGTAATTCCCACGGGCGCTTTGTGTATGTAAATAAAATAAGATAAATGTATGTGTGCGCAAATCCGGCTTTCGCGCACGCCAAGATGGGGAAGTGCCGGGCGCTTGAAATTCATGACTAGTGCGTGCGGTACGCGCGCATTACGCGTTCGCGGGCAAGTGGTGTCGCGTGCGCCGGATAAGGTCGGGCGTAATTTATTCCCGCGGAAAAAGAGAAAAAAAAATAAAGCAAACAAAGAAAAGAGAAACGAACGGGACGGGCGGATTGTAATTTCGCGGAGACTCGTCGCGGCGTGGATCAGCCTGAAATTGATTTGATTTTCCGGCTGGTCGGATTGAAGGAATCCCCATTTCGTATACCTATGGTATCCGACGTTTCAACCTTATTACATAACACTTGGCAAGTTCCGTGTTTTTATAAGTTTTCAGTTGGGTGGTGGGCCTATTGACCTATTTTCAGGCGACGCGCAGTTGCGACGTACGTTTGGGAGATATCCCTAAACACTAATGGAAAAGAGAATAAAAACATCTCAAGTTCTTGCCGTCAAAGTCGACTCCTCGTTACTTTTGCCTCGGCACGTGTCGGCATAATAATGCCTAAAGCCTCTTTCTTTGTCTCTCTCCCGTCGTAAAAGGCTTCGAGAAACGCCTGCAGGCGGGTGGTGTGTCTTGCGTACCGTATAAGATATACATGATTTTGTCAGAAAGAGAGAGAGAGAGAGAGATAGAACCGAGGGTGGGGACGCACACGCGCGAAAATAGCTTCCTGGATTTCAACGCTCGCGCTTAATCTAGCCCAAGGTCAGCGTCCATAAGATCAATGTCACATACACACTCTCGTAATGATAATAATTCAAGGGTGGGAGGGTGAGAGTTATCGCAACACCACTCGTAAATTACAACGAGAGAGGCCAACAGACAGACAGACAAACAGAGAGAGACAGAGTAAACGGCAGGAGCACCCTCTCCGTTCGTGCAGTTTTCGGACGACCACTGCCCGAGTCCTTTGACGGAGACCGACAGTAAAATTGTCAAAAGAAAAAAATGTCTAGTTCTAGATTATCAACGGTTTGCTTGGTAGGTTCTTTTTAGACAGGACTGATGATGGGCGGCTAATTTAATGTAATACATTACAGACTGTTAAAGTGTCTACTCTCTCTCTCTTTCTCTCTCTCTTTGTCTCTTCCCTTTCATTGAACGAAGAGGATACAGTAATATTCGCATACGAGACGACGATCATCAATCTCTCCTCTACTGTTAATTCCTCGGCAGTAGTACATTGAAAACGCAAAGGCATCCCTTCTATAAGCCAAAAGGCCACGGGTGCCGACGCATCGTCGTCGACGGACAATAAATTTTCGGATTCGGGGCTTTTATTTACCTTGGCACGTGCGCATAAAATCTCGCGTCCTTCGTACTGCCCGCGAGAGAAAGAGAGAAACTGCGTTAAATGCGTTTATAACATTTCGTTTCTTGTCTCTTTGCACTTGGTGATCGTTTGCAATAAAAATTAATCGGTCCACTTTCTTTCTTATAGTTTGTTGAACTCTCAAGCGAGCCACGCGCGCGTTCCTTTTTGCTCAGTGTGAAAAATCAATTTCGGGATATTTGCGGCGAAGCGAATATTTATCTCCCGATGCGAAAACGTGACTCAGAGACGCCTCGAGTATTTTATCTGCGTCCTATTCCACGAAAACCCAATCGAAATTCCGACGCTTGGCAGAGTTTTATGAAAAGAAGAAGACAAAAATTCGATGTCTGCGGGGATCGACAACAACGTGATCGGCTCCCCGCTCGAAGCTCGAAACGACTGCGCGTACAGTGCAATTACAACAATAGCCAACGGCACACAGAGCAAGAGAGAGAGAGAGAGAGAAATGCACGCGAGAGAAATTAAAGCGATGCGAGTTGTCGTGACACGGGACAGTTAAAAATAGACTCGAGGACGTGCAGCAGCAACGGCAGCGTTGGTGCCCGGTTGAATTTGATTTTTCAACGGCGATAATGCGGCCAGGGCGGAATTCAACGCCCGCGCGGGAGGGGGAAGGCAAAACTTTTGCTCGCGAGGAGAGATCGCGAGTTGGCGATATCAAACTTGGCCTTTCGAAGTTCGATATCGCTCGCTCGCGCGATGATCTAGTTCTCTGTAATAATAAAAGAAAAAATATTAATAAAACTTCTCGGCGAAGAAAACTTCCGCGAGCGTGAATAAGCATCTGCGGCTGATAAAGATCGACCAAACTTCCGTTCGAAGACCAGAGTCGGAGGTTTCAATGGCGCGGACGTTAAATCAAACGATCGATTAATCAGAGTCGAGGGAGATAGCGAGCGCTACTACGTGATTAACAAGCCACCAATTATCCGATGATTAATGCCACACGCTCGCTATACTACCTTTTCACTTAACGGCGCACGCGCGCCATAGACTTACAGTTGTCACCGCGGAGTTCGACAAGTCGCAGCTGCGCACTCTCTTATTTTTCCATCTTTAATTATAGTCGTTCGGCGTTCAAATCGTTTGGACGTCCAAGGCTTTTGCTTATTTTGTCAGAGA